GGCCGCGTTTTTTTTTGCACCATGATATCGTTGCGCTTTTAAAACGCGGCAGTTCATTCTTCGTCACGCATGGACTCGTCTTGATAAGAGGTTCGTAAGCACGCTGTTTACCTAATTGGTTTACGGTGCATCGCAGAAATCCTCGTGTTGCATGAGCTAATTGACGGATTGAAAGACCACAAAGAGATGGTAAAATAGCCCTTGAATGTGGCCAAAGTATTGACGAGAACACAAATTTTCTATTTTTATATATCGACAGAATTCTAGCTAAGATAGCTCTATATCTATTTTTATCTTGACCACAAATTTAGACAGGCAACTCGAGAATAATTTTGATTTTGCCAGCGACAGATACAAAGAGCTTGCGCTAAAATTCTTTCGCTGCATAAGTCGTGAGTTCTACCCACAAATAACATAAGGCGACGAACTCATTTAATCAGACACCTGTGTACTTTCAACTATCATGAGACAGTCCAAAAAAGGATTTTATATATTTTAAATAAAAACGTTTATTAAAGGCTTCACGTTGTTGCTCATAATAAGTTTGAATCGAGAAGGTGTACCATACTCGGCAGTCCATTTTAGCGTTTCGGTATCGAGGAGCCATTGCAGTGCCATTGTTTTGTTTTTATTCATTTCATGCTTGCCGCACGAACGACGCCACCGTGAAGGGTTTGGCCAGCTTCCACTCATGGTCCGTCAGTGTCGCATTGCGAAGTTCGGCGTTAAAGTTCTGGAGCATGTGCCGAACAAACGAAACGAGATAGATTTCGCATAACTTTTAATTTGCATCGCCTTGATGAAACCTTTGTCACGGTCAAATATAACAAATGAGGACCCTTTTATGTAGCGTAGAAGAAAGTCGAGGAACCATGACTAATTGTCTTTTGTCTCGCGTAACACCATAGCTGTCGCCACGTTTTAGATTTTGTTGTCGCTGTTATTGATTAAAACGACAAGAAGAAATCTGCTATATTTACGCTTTATCAACGTGCAAATCAGATTGATCCGCAATTTGCAAACTCACGGAGCACACAAATGCCGGGCTTGCATACAATGAAGACCCAAAAAAATTTGTCCTCACGCCACATGATATTAAAATTTCGTCCACTCTTTTTAAATTCGATAACTTATGACAAGATGAACTGATAATGCGTGCTATCTTTATCAAAAAGTTGCGATTAAAGTTGATTGCACGCTTCGACACAAGTCTGGTCCATCACTCAACGCCCGTCAGCTCTAATCTCTTTCTTCAACTCAGCTGGACTAGCGTCACGATAGTTATCAACGAAGAACACGAGGTCTGATTAAAGCTTCGAAAACATATGACGACATGTTTCCACCACTTGTTTCGTAAGAAGCCAAGTCAACCCTCCTAGCGTCGCATGTGTTTGGCACAAACGTGTGGGGCGGCTAAAAGCCCTTACTAAACGCAAAAACGTCAGCGAATATAAATTTTGGATCAATAGAAAACGCCATGTGACGTCTATAATCGCTCAATTTGATACGAAATGCTCGCCCAACTTCTTCGTTGTGCAGAAATTCCGCACTCGATATGTCGTCGCGACCGGCTTATTCTCGTGAGCAGAAATATGCGCGCTCGTTTTTATAATCCTGTGGCGAAGAACCGTCAGTTTCATTTGTGTCTCACCAAGGAAGACGTCGTTGCCGGTGATCGTCATCGTCGTCAGATGAGAATATCTAAACAATGAGGCACATAAGTATTTGTAAACTTCAGACTTCAGTATGTTTTGCATGTTTCTGCATAAACTTCAGCCTTTTTAATAAACTTTCATTATTTACAAGTTCGTTCGTGAATCCTTCGTTTTGGTGTATTATTATATTTTCGATGTTTGGTGGTATAAATCCCCTTATTTTATTTTTTGGAATGAAAACCTTTTGCTTTTAAAAAGTGGTAAAATATCCCCAAATTATCTAATCCGATTTCAAGAGTTACTGCTGCTCTACGCATACCACTCGAAGTGCGCTCTCAAGTTTCAATATTTTGTTTGTTTGTTTCCTTTTTGGCGTAAATTATCGATGTGCAGTGTGACATTGTAATTCGCCGAGCAACACCTGAACTGATAATGTCTAGAAGAACACCTAAGTATGTGTCAATAACATGTAATCGGACCACTGCCTCCATTACATTTACCATCAAACAAAATCTGAAAAACGGGACACAATCCATGAAATGCACCGCAAAAGTGATGAGTCTTCCGTGATAGAAAGTTCTACATTTACGAGCTGTACAGCTTATACGATGGAAAGAAAAGCTTTTGAATCACTTAAATCTTGACTAATAAAAAAAGTGATGCAATAATTACTCGATATTAAAGTGGTTCAAAAGCTTGAGATGTCGAATACTCACGTATTTTATTTATCTACAATATTGTTCATGTTCTCAATTTTGAGCTGTCCGAAGGTTCTCCTTCGTGCAGAATCCGCTGCAGCATTTCAATAATGTTTGTTGAAAGCAACACCAAAGTCCTATACATGGTATACTCAATTTTAGCAAGCTCAATTTTTGCTGCCGCGACGTGTCGCGTAAACATAATTGTGCACCCTTAGCATTTTTTTATTCTACCATGCATCGAATAAGAGTCGTATCCCACGCTACCAAGTTAGTTTCCCTAATTTTTTGATGAATCACGGATATAAAGCCTTATCTGCGGGTTGCTGGAATCGGACTGGGGCGTATCCATAGCAACACAAAACGGAACACTTGTTATTAACAATATTTGTGGTCGCTTAATACTCGACGACCGGCTGCATGAGCGTTGCACCGTTCTTTGTCTGCAGTTAATCTTCATCTTTAGTCCATAGCGTCGATACTTGACCCGATCGCTTAGGTAAAGCTTGCAAACGTAAATGCCTTTATTGTTATTCGTTTGCAGGATTGTCACTTGCCACATTTTCTGCTAACACTTCAATTGCACTAATCATAGCAGAAACAAGTCAAAGTTGTTGCGTAAGACACACTTTGATGGATTGCTACGCGTCGTGATCATTAACATCGGATCCATTAGTACATTTGTTGACGTCACGAGTATCAAATGAAGTTGGTCAGACTTCTATGACTCGTCATTGCAAACAATATACCTTCGGCATCAACTTCATCGCAATTCCGTACTTGACCGCAGTGGTGCTGTCAGCCCAAAAAGGGCGCATGTCTGAGCTATCTGCGCATGATGATTGATTGAGATAGCGCCTTCAGTAACAGTATTCCCGCACTTGCATCAGTCTAATTCGTATAGCATAAATAGCGCTCTAGTTTCAAGAAGGTCCAGAACACGAAAAGGCTCGATTAGGCCTTACATCGGTACAAACTTTTCGCGTGCCACATTACTGCGTACAACGATTGCATGTGCCGCAAGTACTACTATAATAGGCAAATGCTCGCTACCATCTTGTGCATTAGCACGCCCACTCGTGGGCCAGGACAGTATAGCTACAAGAACGCCATATGATTGCTACTCCATTCTTTGTCTGAGCTTGAGATCATCTAGGTGATGACTTCACCAACAGCTACGTCCAAAGCAAGTTGTTGCAGCAAAACATACTTTCTTACAACCCCCTCTTCTTGCCTGTGTCAAGGGTGTGCAGAGATCCGAATTCAAGTCCTTATTTTCGCAACGAAAACATAAACTTTTCCACGACAAGTGCAGCGGATGAGCATGCTGTGAGCGCGATACACAGCATCCATGTATGGAGTTATGTACGCTAGACTGGCATCCGTGTTAGCAATCATGTATCGATATTGTAGTACGAAGGTCCATTGACGAATGCGCGCGTGCTATATATTCGGATATATGGAAACTGCTCCTCTCACACATTTGGTGGCAGTGTTTTACACCACCTGCTGCAACGATGCTCTTACCCGATTGTGTGAAAGACTCAATAACACGTACGATGATATCGGTACAAACGACCACGGTAAGCATAATCACGCCTTCCGTGGCCGGCGAGGACTGCGGTGCAAGGACAGCTAGTTAAAATAAAGTAGCTAGAACGTCTTGGTGAGCCGAGGTTGCGGTATTAATACTGTATCACGCATCTCTACCAAGGATCACGGAGACATTCGGGTTGCCGTACATTGTTGCAAGTACACGAAAGGAAAACTAAGTCCTCTCTATCTGTACCCACAAGTTCCATATCGAGGTCTTGCGGTAATTGACGAGACATCTTAAATGCGCACATCTACCCCACGTGGCTCCCTACTTGTAGTGCTGCCTGCACATGGCCAGCATGTGCCCCTCAACACCACATAAACCGTCGGTGGCTGGCAATAAAATGGCACTACTACTGGACGGCTACCACTGTCCTGCTTTCCGACCATTGTCTTATCTGAGCCTGTCGGACGGACCATGTACAATCTCAATACAAGGCGATGTCCACTTCGTCGCTTCCGTGGCGTCCATAGAAACAATGCGCCAACGTATGTGTTGCACATTTGGCAGTAACTAGTTGTACGACTTACGGACTTGGCTCACATCACAGCATCCCCTCCAGCTTCAAAAGCTAAGCAGCAACCAATGTGCATCTGTAGGTTAGCCAGTCAATCGAGTCAAAACATGCACTTGAGGCCCAATCTGCTGCAGCTGTAAGTAGCCAAGCCCAAGTCTAGGTAGATGAGTATGGTGCATGTTTGTTCTAAGGTTTGATAAATGTAAGTAGTGGGGGACACTTCTTTGTGTCTTTCTCCCACGCGCACTCGTGCCGTAACACACAAACACACGCATCCAACTTGTGATTAGTCAATTATCGTCCCTCGATTCCGAATATTTCAAAACCGCCCCAGCAGCTGTACTTCTCCAGCCGACGGCGTATATTAATTCTAAAACAACTCAGCAAGTCACTGGCTGGTGGAGAGCGCTCTTGGAAGTTGCGTGAAACGACGTGGCCAGCGACACCGCGTCGTCCTTCTGCTACTGCTGCTGCCTCTTTCACACACCCACACCCACACCCACACCCACATCTTGTCGCTTTGTCGATAGGGTATGGCACCAGTTGACTGCCCACGTGCACCTGACGTTCCAGCGGCGAAGCACAAGCGCTCGAACACACTCGCGACGGACGAGTCCGTGCAACGAGACAACGGCGTCTCGACGTTGCAAGCCGAAACGAGTAGTCAGGCACTGACAATGTCAAGTGTCGAAACCTTGAGGCATGTTCAGGCCGAGTACGCGCCACTACTGGCGGACCTCACGGACCGATTCAGCTTTTTCCGAGCATTATTGAGCGAGTTTTGGCCTGAGATGCAGCGGGATCCGCGGGACGAGACGCAGCTGCCGGTGGAGAGTGACCAGCAGTGGTTTTGGTTTACCGAGATGCAGTTTATGGTCATTTTCCTCTATGAAGTGGCGTTCATGGAGTTCTCTGTGAGCGTGACAAAGCCCGACTCGATTACGCTCGAGCCAATGGCAGATGAGAAGAGGAACCAGAAGAAGCACAGAACGACGACGGCGATGACCGCGGCAACGGCGAAAACGACGACTACGACGCTGTCGTATCGTCAGGATATGGAAGAGCGTGTGGCGTTTTTGGCCAGACTGAAGACGTACGTAACCGATCTTGCTTCGTGCCGTTTGGAGGCGACCAAGAAGGCGAACAAGAGAATGCCTCGAGTGTTCCGACTGGCTGAGATGTACAAGTTGTCGGCTGGAGAAACGACGCTGCTGCAGCTGCTCGTGGTCATGCAGGGCTGCCAGAGCAATGCCGTACGGTGTCAGATTCTGGACGAAGACACGCAACGCAGAGGCTTGACTTGTCAGCGACTTTCGGGGCTCTCGGAAGTAGACGTGGCCGAGTTTCGCGACGACGAACGCGAGCACGTGAAAGAAGGCACGCTCATTGTGGATGACGAGTCGTACGGCATGTCGCTAACGCTGTCAAACATCTGCGTGCGTGTACTGCTGGGACGACATTTGACTAGTAACCAAGCGCTGAAATTGAGTCAGACGGCGCTTGAAGAACTACTTAAGGGCGAGGGACTGTCGTTTGGGGAAATGCTAGACACGACGACTTCTTCGTCGTCGACAGGTGCGAATGCTCGTCGGCACAAACGTGACCGCAGTATGGAAAAAGTATTGAATGGAGAGCACGAACGAAAAGCGGCGGACCAACAGCAAGAAGATGCAAGCGACTGCGATATGGATGTCAGTGAGGAACAGGAGGATGCCGATGCTTCTGCTTTTTCGTTCATTGGAAAGTACAAGACTGACAGCAAGCGCGCAAAAAGCCAGGCGAAGACTGACGAGCAATTATTGCTGGAGTCGGCAGAGAATGGTAGTGGCAAGCCCCATTTATCGTCATCCCTGATGGATTCGAGCGAGTTGAAGCCGTACAGCCCAGAGAATCAGCTCGAATACCTCGAGGATCGGTTCCAGGTCGTGGCGTTTGCCATTCGTGCATCTGGTGCACGTGTGAAAGACCAGATGAAAGAAGCGGGGACAAAGCAGCCGTGGGAAACGTCAACACCAGCATCTGCAGGCCGACGAGAACTCAAGGCCAAGCAGCGAGTATACAACCGCCGCACTCAGCACCGGTTGGCGCTTACACAGCAAGCTGGTCACCCTTTGCCGCGACTCGAGGAACTGGCTGCAAAGTTCAAGCTGAATCGATTTGAGCAGAATGTGATTGTCATGCTTATAGGCAAGACCATTTCGCCAGTCATCAAGAACTTGATCGATGGCGTGGATACGTCTCCTGTCCAGCGCATGGACGAAAGCGTGATCATCAACCAAATATTGTCGATTTTCTGTGACACTTTCCAGGAGCAAGTGGCCCACCGTGTCTTTTTTTACAAGTCCTCGCGTCTACTTACCCGCGGTCTCGTCAAGCTGCACCGGGGCCGGTGGCACTCGACGGCGGGAGACCTCGTTGATCAGCGTGTTGAACTGGACCGCCGCGTGTTAGATTGGGTGGTTGGTCTTGATACGGAAATGAATGAGCTGGTGGAAGGCTCGGACTTGTACACCCCTAAGGTGCAGCTGGATCAGGTCGTGCTGCCTGAAGAGCACAAAAGCACTATCCTTGAGACCGCTGAGAGTTACGAAAGCTTTCGGAGATATCGCAAGAAAAGCGGGTTGGAGCAGACAGGGATGGCGTATGGTGCTGGTCTGGTGTTGTTGCTCTGTGGCGCTAGTGGCACCGGTAAGACGATGACAGTGAACGCAGTTGCGCACCAACTTAAGAAACGTGTGTTACTGGTGGACTTTCCATCGCTGCAAGGCAAGCGCCAAGAAGGTGTCGAGGCGGACGCAGATTTGCGTGGTCTGTTTCGCGAAGCTGACATGAGCAACGCTGTGCTGTTCTTTGACGAGTGCGAGAACATCTTTCGGCAACGCGATGGCGGAGGAGACCGATTGCTGAACGCGCTGCTGACAGAGATCGAGCGGTATGAAGGCATTGTGTTTCTAGCGACCAACCGACCGTTCGACCTCGACGAAGCCATGCATCGTCGGATCACTGCTGTGTTCGAGTTCAAGGCACCGGACCACATTCAACGGCGGAAGATTTGGGATGTGCTTTTGCTGCGGGGAGCCTTGCAAGTCGAGCCCAGTATCGATTTGGACGCCATCGCGCTCAAGTATGAACTCAGTGGTGGGTTTATCAAAAACGCCATCCTGTCTGCTCTGCTGAAAGCCATCTCACGAAGCGGCGAGTCACCTGTGATCTCGCAAGCTGACATTGTGGCGGGCTGTGCACTGCAGATGCGCGGCAGTCTGCACATGAAGACGTTTGATCATCGCGTAGTGCCCACAAGTGGGTTGGATGAGCTTATTGTTGATGAGTCCGTGAAGGAAAAGCTGCGGCGAATAGTGCACTTTGAGAAGGCGCGCAGTGTGATCTACGGGCAGTGGGGATTTGACTTTGGTCAGTCCAACAAGCAGCAGAAGGGCGTGAGTGTGCTGATCTGTGGCCCGCCAGGCATTGGCAAGCTCAACGCTGCAAAGAGTATCGGGTTTGAGATTGGCCGCCCTCTGAAAGTGGTCAGCTTTGGCCAGCTGGCCGCGGACTCAGCTGCTGCTACCCGCAAGGCACTGCGGGCCGTATTTGACGATGCTCGTCTTATGGACGCGGTGCTGGTGCTGACGGGTTTCGAGTCGTTTGGCAGCCACATTGAAGGAGGCGTCATCCCGATCGACAACCTCGAGGCCTCACCTCGTTTCCGCATGGAGGTGATGCGTCTTCTGGAGCTCATGGACACTTTCCCGAGCACGACCGTTCTGCTCGCGGACGTGGACAAGTCGGCTTCGTCGTCGTTGGTACAGTCGGAGTTTTGCCGCCGCCTCAAGTTTGTCGTGGAGATGCGAAATCCGAACTCGAAGCTCCGTGAGAAGCTCTGGCGCGCGTGCTTTCCTCCAACAGCACCGTTGGACACGAACAAGCCCATTGACTTCCAGCGCCTGGCCGATCGGTTCGACTTGAGCAGTACGGCAATCAGTGACGCTGTGTTCCGTGCCGCTGCCAGTGCAGCTTTGCGTGAAGAGAGCACGCGCGTGATCACGATGAAAGACCTGACTGACGCCGCTGAAATCGAGCGACAAAAAGCGCGCGGCGGCGCTGCAGCCATGGAAAACCTCTTTGTCTAAGTGGGAAGACACATTGGTGGACGCAAGCGCCAATCCGATGCACGCTGTACGTGACAAAAACCTGTGCCTGCAAGTGGTAGCACCAGAGCGAGAGAGGAGAGAGTCGGAACAAGACCGACTGGCAGTAAGAGTGGTAAACACGGCCGCAGCGTGTGGTGTTTGTTTAGCCCTTACGTGTCGACGTCGTGGTTTCTCCTGCTCCACATAGCCAACTTGCCAGCCCACAGTATGTTCCTTCGTTGCAGTCTCGTCGCGCGCGGCAACTACAGCAACAACAACGACACATCGGCAGTAGCAGCCCCAATCGTGCCACCCACCCACCCATCCATCACTCCATCACCCCCACTCCCTCACTCTCTAGATCGAGAACGGCAGGTCGTCACCGCTCGTAAAGTCGCGCACAACTTCGTTCTCGGTGATCGTGACCGTCCGAATGACTCCACCCGAACTGCCGTCGCGCGCCATCGCATGGGCCAACATCTTCTTCACAAACGCCTGGCACTCTTCCTTGGTCATGTCCGGCCTGCACGTCCCCCCCCACACACCCCACACACACCCCGCAACAACGACAACAACAACAACAACAACCACAACAACATCAATCCCCACACACACACACTGCAGCGTCAGTCCCTGCGCGTGCGCCACCCCAACTGCCTCTCCCTCACCGGTACTCGGCGTCCACGAGGCCGTAGATATACGTCGAGCCGCTGCCGCCAATGGCCACGTCCTGCTCGACCAGCGTCCCGCCAATGGGGATCGCGAACACCTGCCCGCCCTTCGCCTCGTCCCAGCCCGCCACGATCGTCCCGGCCACCAGCCGCCCCTTGTTGTGGTAGCACAGCGCGCGCAACAGCGTTGCCGCCGCGTGCACCGTCGGCAGGCGCCCGAGCTCGACGCTGTGCGCGCTCAGGTAGTACCGCACGTAGTCGCTCAGCGCCTGCGTGTCGGCCGCAGAGCCCGAGCGGCAGCAGAAGAGGCGGTCGTGCAGCGGCGTGAGCTTGTCACTCACGCGGTTGGCCACGTACGCGCCCGTCGACGTGCGCGAGTCGGCGCCCAGCACGACGCCGCCGGGGAAGCGCACGGCGATGATGGACGTGCCGGCGTCCACTTCGCCGGCCTTGAGGCGCGAGGGCGCGTCGTGGGCGTCGTACCGAGTCATAGGCCGCCGCCGTGGGGGGAGGTAGGGGCAGGTCGGGTCGTAGTGGATCGCTCGGGTCGCGGGTGACTCCGAACAGTGATATCGTGAGGCCTGGAGTCGCTTTTTAGTGTTATAGGGAGGGCGGGCGCGGCGTACGTTATTCTCGGAAAAGGGTGCGACGAGGGCAGAACAACAAAGGTGCGAAAAGACGCAGACGAGGGACAAACGACTACTGCGCCCGATCGCTGCAAGCTGAACCCGTGAAAGACCGCAACGCTGAGCTTCGACAAGTGCGTGACCGAAAACGACGCGTACCCCCCACATGTCCGTAATGCTCACCGCGTGACTGCAAAAAGATGATGCCACATATCGACTTTGTCGTTGGATGTGCGTTTAGGGTGTTGCACAACCCATGACCTGCCCGATACAACGCGTCTCTTTGGTACCGGCTCACCACAGCGCGAGCGCAGCAACGTGCACAAGTAGCAATGCGTCTTCTCGTTTTCTTCTCTCGTTGTGTCATGCTGCGTGCCAACATGAGTCAGTGCTTGGTCGAAAACGCATCGAAGACTTCCGACCTCGTCACTGGTCGTGACGCTACGGCGTGTGCGGTTTAGCCGCACTGTTTGGCACGTGACCGACTACGCCATTTGCGACCAGTGTTCAAGTGCATGCGTCGATTTCAATCGGAGTTTCCGGCACTCGAGTGGAAAACCTCGTTCAGAAACGCCGTGCCTCGTCTCCGTTTCGGTCGGGCCACTTGCGTTTTGCGTAGTCGTTGGTGTCGGCGTTGCCCTCGTTCCGTCTCCCAGTGGGACGTGAAGGGGTACGTCATCATGATGTTGCGGCCACGGCTTCGCTGAAAGGACGGCGCTGGTGGTGCACGATTCTGCGTGTGTGTTTTGTGCGACAGACACGGAGACCAAGTGACGATACGAACGGCTTGCGAGCTATATCTCCTCTACCTTTTACAGCAGTCGCAATCTACAGAAGCTGCTTCTCTGCTGTCGCTCCCTCGGTCAGCGATGAGAGTGCTTGTGCCTCTCGCACGTGGCCCAAATTGTCATGATCGGCAGGTCATGTTTGCTAGAACCTTCGTGACAAACTTGCACGGTGTGTTTACACTCGGTGGGAAAGCGGGCGTGGGGGAGGCCACCTACCCATCTTTTCGCTAAGTCAGGTGCTTCAAAGCTCAACCATGTCCTAGAGATGACGCGCGACGGACTGCTGTGTCATGGCATCCTGTCGAGCATGCGTCGTGATTGTTTTGATTTGCAGAGATCGTCGCAAGGGAGAGCAGTCGTTCACTTCCACAGATGAGATGCTCGCATTGACTTGCAATACTTCTCATTCAGCAGCTCGTATTTTGCAATCGCATCGTTTTGCGAGTCGACTTGGAAAACTTGCGAGACGCGAAAAGCGGTCGCTTGCATTTGCATTCCACACGGATGAGAGGTGACAATACAATCTGCATTTCCATGCTACTTGAGGCAACATCACTCGCATCTGTCCACGCATCTGGTCAAGTAATCATGATACCAAGTTCTTGTTCCGGTGTGACCTTTGCTTCCGCGTTACGGTGTTTAGCGTCGTAAGTCTCCTGGCCACTCGACAACCTGCGCTGTAGCGGAACGGACCACTTGTCGAACAACTTAGACATGCGTTGACCGAATTGCAAAGCATCAGTCACGGCTGTGGAAACGGTAGCAATCGATTGACAAGTTTGTGCATCTGCCTCTAGCACGCCCGACATCAACTCCATATCTTGGTCATGCTGTGCTGAGGTGGTTCACGCAAGCATAGATAGATGCCATACATATCAGCTTGGTCATGCTATACTGAGATGGTTCACGCAAGCACCGATGCCATACCTGTCAAGCTGAATAGGGCTGCTTGTCCCATTCATTGTCGCGGTAGTATCTAACGGCAGAGTCGTAGCGCTTGACCGTGAGCGATCCGAGAAGGTCATCCTTGGCGATACAAGTCCATTTTATTGCTTCCAACAAAGCAGTCAGGAAGTCGATGAAGCCCAATATGCTTCCGTACCTTCTGAGATTTTGTGTGACCCGAGGAAGGATCGCCGTGCTTGCTCGTTCATCCCAATCGAGTTCATGGCGGCACGAATCGATCGAGCACGTCACAGCTTCCATTGCCATCTGCTCAAGGACGCCGAGTGCAGGATATGCTAGTCCTTGACGAGCGTACTGTGGTGATTGAAGCCCCGATAATCACAACGGGTGTCAGGAGGGTACGTGGGTAGTTTCTTTCTACCCAGAAAGTTTCCCTTACGGTCCTTAACTCCCAGATACCTGCGATCAGTAACTCACGGGATTTAAGACTCCGTGGCGTACCTTTTGCACGCTTGCTTCACATTGTCTACCGGCTGCGACCCATTGTAGAGCCCAGTCGGTGGCGCGGCTTTGCCTTCGATCTCAGCCTGGATGGAAATGTCCATTTGCTGGGACATTCCCAAATTTTCACGGTTCAGCTCAAGCCAGTCTTTTTCCCTTCGGGGCAGTCACGTCGGAGGGAATCCTCCCCTTGGGGAGCCGACGTGGTCGAAGATCTGACGCGGGCACGCTGCACTCGCAGTCGCGGGTGTGGGCGTAGGAGACCGACGGGTCGCGCAAGCGGCCCTAGCAGGGGTGTTTTACGGACTGGAGGCGTACCCCGCGCCACGTGTCGCCGCTGCGGCGAGCGCACACTCCACGTCAAGGGGCCGCGCAAGCGGCTGAAGGGGGCCACCATCGCAGATGGTTGAGCTCCTCGGAGAGATATACGGTGGGTTGGCGTTCTCCACGCCACGCAGTCACTTCGGTGATCGCACTCCACGTCGGGGGCCGCGCAAGCGGCTGAAGGGGGCCACCATCGCAGATGGTTGAGCTCCTCGGAGAGATATATGGCGGGTTGGCGTTCTCCACGCCACGCAGTCACTTCGGTGATCGCACTCCACGTCGGGGGCCGCGCAAGCGGCTGAAGGGGGCCACCATCGCAGATGGTTGAGCTCCTCGGAGAGATACGGCGGGTTGGCGTTCTCCACGCCACGCAGTCACTTCGGTGATCGCACTCCACGTCGGGGGCCGCGCAAGCGGCTGAAGGGGGCCACCATCGCAGATGGTTGAGCTCCTCGGAGAGATATACGGCGGGTTGGCGTTCTCCACGCCACGCAGTCACTTCGGTGATCGCACTCCACGTCGGGGGCCGCGCAAGCGGCTGAAGGGGGCCACCATCGCAGATGGTTGAGCTCCTCGGAGAGATATACGGCGGGTTGGCGTTCTCCACGCCACGCAGTCACTTCGGTGATCGCACTCCACGTCGGGGGCCGCGCAAGCGGCTGAAGGGGGCCACCATCGCAGATGGTTGAGCTCCTCGGAGAGATATACGGCGGGTTGGCGTTCTCCACGCCACGCAGTCACTTCGGTGTTCGCACTCCACGTCGGGGGCCGCGCAAGCGGTCCTAAAGGGGTTTGTTGCCTTATATGGCAGCATACCCGCGTTGTACGTGCTTCCGCTCAGGCGGTACGCATGTCCCCAGTCTACTTGGTCGCGCCAGCGGTCATGATTGACTCGTAGTTGGCTTCGGTAGGAGGGTCTCTGACCTCGTTGCCGTCGCCCCTGGCTCTACGGAGCCCTTTAGTTGTCGACCCGATACCCGGGCCGTACTTCTTGTCACACTTATCAGTCGTTAGTTATCATAATAATGGACGTACTTGACACCACCACCATTTGCTGGGACACGAACCCGTATCCTCCCGATCAGAACCGCCGTGGCCATCCCACTGCACCGCCCTGATCGGTCAGGAGGGTGCGTGGGCCAGCGCAATAACCACATCATAGCACCGGCTGGAAACCTCAAGAGGCAGTTGGTGCGTAGGTTTGGACACAATCGCAACGATCGGGATGGGAAGCGCACCAACTACATCATAGCACCGGCTGGACCCCTCAAGAGGCAGCTGTTGCATAAGCTGGACACAAGTTGCCAAGATCGTGATGGGAAGACTGTGGTTGTAGCAGGGAGTACGACGGGTCATTCCTGTGACCAAATTTGCGTAGCATCCGTTGCCTTGCACATCAGCCTTCTTCTGACACGAATCAGCATTGTCTAAAAGTATGCAGTGGGTCTCGATATAGAATAGTGAGCTCTTGCAATCCAAAGTCGAACAAAGCAGCGCTTCTACCGTGGTATTTTCTGCAGGTCTATGTACCCGTCAAATCGGCTAGAGCTGATGATAAATTTCAGCATCAGACGGCTAGGTTTCTGCGCTCCTACGTTGTCTTGTCCTTGCACATTCACCAGCTCGACCCCTGCTCCATGCAAAAGTCCATATCGTCTCTCACACAGGGAATGCTCAGAAGATTCGTGCGCTTTTGACTGCTTGCCACGGGTTCTGCAGCGCGGAGTGTTCTGGCAGTCTCGATTATGCGCCAAATGTTGTACTGAAGCGTACAAACAAGGGGCCGTGTAGACGATACTGATAGATCGTACACGGGACGTGGGGCTTCGATAAGGTGCACACGCCGCTCTATGTGCGGTACCATGTTCTCTGTCGCACGGGCTGTAAAAACAGCTGCAAGTCGCTGTAATGTTATATAATATCCAGCTCTGATTTTATATTGACTGGCTATGAGCTACCCAAAATCTGTAGAGCTGTGGGTCAGAAATAGCGATAATACACAAACCTGCAAACGATTTGAAGTGGTGTGCTTGAGGAAACCGGCTTCCACCAGCGCCATCAACTATTTCTGCGAGTCGCTCCTCGGGTCATTACGAAACTCGCTCCATCGCTTGACAGTTAACACTACCTCACTCTAAGATGCGCATCGACTGCGTCGGACTCTTGATTGCCGCTGCTATCTTGGCAGGTCCAAGTTTCTCGGAGATATCCGGTTCCAACTTGGTGCGGTTTCACACCGGTCACTCTACTACCGATGACAAAAGTGGCATCCCTGGTAATCGGGTGCTGCAAACGACCGGCGCCATGAATGGGGAAGAGAGGGCGCCGGGATCAAGTGGGATAACGTCGTTTATGAAAACTATTGAGAGGGAAATCCCAGTGCTACTCAGTGCGAACTCACATGCCGTATCTGGCAGCACGTTCACTGAACAAGTTCGGGCTGGGCTACAACATCTGGATGACGGTATTGTATCGCTCTATGCCGAAGGTCTAAAAGGGAATCATGTACTGTGTCGAATGGTGGCGAAGATGCTTTCTAGCGGACCGGGCGGAGTGCGCATGGTGGAAGGGCTGATTCAAGCCTTCGGCAGGAAGCAAGCAGCCGAATTGTTAGAGAAGGCAGCAAAAGGGCTGGTTGTTCCTGAAAGAGCTGATCAACATATGCTCATTAGGCAAGCAATCACGGATCCTCAAATAGCATACCCTGGACCTTTGTATATGCTGAAGAATTCCGTCAAGGCGTGGAACGCGGAGCATTCGGAACATCTTACGATGCTTCAATTTCTGTTGCAAGCCTATGGTGATGTAGCCGAACTGGCGCTCGATTTGTCGCTTGCGACGAAGATTAATCCCGACGATGGCCTAGCAAAGCAGTTGCAGAATGAGATATTGATGGCCTGGCTGGACAAAAAACAGTCCATCGATTACGTCTATGCTATGTTGGAGCAGCCCGAATCTGGTGTGACGGGGGTGAAGTTTGAGAACATGGACATGTTGCACCAATACATTGAATTACACAACGAGAAATATCGCGGCAACGTAGATATAGTCACATATCTACGACGGAAGTCGCTCGGCGACATCGAAATCGCCCAGATGATATGGGATGCAAGGAAAAGGTCCCTGTACTTCATCGAGATGTTAAAACATCTTATTCGGCAGTGGCAGATTGACAGTCATTCACCCATAAGTATTGCTGGCAAGTTGCTTGAGGCAGGAATCGATGAGTCTATGGTACTTTTGATACTAGTATCCGTCTGTCATGGCGTCTCACATCTCGCGCGCGCATTGTCGGTGGCTAAGATGGATCCAGCAACAAAACTTACGGCGAAGCGGTTGCAAACAAAGATGATAATGACCTGGCTGCCCCGTGATCAACCCTTTGCTGCTGTCTACGGCATCCTGAAGCCGCGCGAGTCGAGTACGACAGGCATCGTCTTCCAAAACTTGGACACGCTGGTCGAATACGCTGCAGCGCACAACGCAGTACCTTCTAACACCAAGATCGACGTATTTGCGTTTCTACGAGAGAAACATTTTGATGACGTCGAACTCGTGCGGATGATACTGGATTTGAGGACAATGTCCCCCAACAACGCTGTTACAATTCTGGAACGTCTTTTTGAGCAATGGCGGATCGAGCACACATTGCCCATAGATATCGCCCACCAGTTCTTAGCGGCTGGATTTGACGAGACCACGGTGCTGTCGTTGCTGGAGAAATTCTGTGGCAGCATATCTAGCCTTGCGCGCGCTCTGTCGGTAGCGAAGATTGATCCCGCCACAAAGCATACGGTAGATGTTATGCAGAGTCAGCTGATGTTGACCTGGCTGCCCCGTGATCAACCCTTTGCTGCTGTCTACGACATCCTGAAGCCGCCCGAGTCGAGTACGACAGGTCTCGTCTTCCAAAACTTGGACACGCTGGTCGAATACGCTGCAGCGCACAACGCAGTGCCTTCTAACACCAAGATCGACGTATTTGCGTTTCTACGAGAGAAACATTTTGATGACGTCGAACTCGTGCGGATGATACTGGATTTGTGGACAATGTCCCCCAACAACGCTGTTACAAGTTTGGAACATCTTGTTCGGTTATGGCAGGCCGAACGAAAATCGGCCATAGATATCGCCCACCAGTTCTTAGCGGCTGGATTTGACGAGACCACGGTGCTGTCGTTGCTGGAGAAATTCTGTGGCAGCATATCTAGCCTTGCGCGCGTTCTGTCGGCAGCGAAGATTGATCCTGCCACAAAGCATACGGTAGATGTTATGCAGAGTCAGCTGATGTTGACCTGGTTGATCGAAGGTCATACCATTGATATCGTCTACAACATCCTGAAGCCGTCCGAGTTGAGTACGACAGGTCTCGTCTTCGAAAACTTGGACACGCTGGTCGAATACGCTGCAGCGCACAACGCAGTGCCTTCTAACACCAAGATCGACGTATTTGCGTTTCTACGAGAGAAACATTTTGATGACGTCGAACTCGTGCGGATGATACTGGATTTGAGGACAATGTCCCCCAACAACGCTGTTACAATTCTGGAACGTCTTTTTGAGCAATGGCGGATCGAGCACACATTGCCCATAGATATCGCCCACCAGTTCTTAGCGGCTGGATTTGACGAGACCACGGTGCTGTCGTTGCTGGAGAAATTCTGTGGCAGCATATCTAGCCTTGCGCGCGCTCTGTCGGTAGCGAAGATTGATCCCGCCACAAAGCATACGGTAGATGTTATGCAGAGTCAGCTGATGTTGACCTGGCTGCCCCGTGATCAACCCTTTGCTGCTGTCTACGACATCCTGAAGCCGCCCGAGTCGAGTACGACAGGTCTCGTCTTCCAAAACTTGGACACGCTGGTCGAATACGCTGCAGCGCACAACGCAGTGCCTTCTAACACCAAGATCGACGTATTTGCGTTTCTACGAGAGAAACATTTTGATGACGTCGAACTCGTGCGGATGATACTGGATTTGTGGACAATGTCCCCCAACAACGCTGTTACAAGTTTGGAACATCTTGTTCGGTTATGGCAGGCCGAACGAAAATCGGCCATAGATATCGCCCACCAGTTCTTAGCGGCTGGATTTGACGAGACCACGGTGCTGTCGTTGCTGGAGAAATTCTGTGGCAGCATATCTAGCCTTGCGCGCGTTCTGTCGGCAGCGAAGATTGATCCTGCCACAAAGCATACGGTAGATGTTATGCAGAGTCAGCTGATGTTGACCTGGTTGATCGAAGGTCATACCATTGATATCGTCTACAACATCCTGAAGCCGTCCGAGTTGAGTACGACAGGTCTCGTCTTCGAAAACTTGGACACGCTGGTCGAATACGCTGCAGCGCACAACGCAGTGCCTTCTAACACCAAGATCGACGTATTTGCGTTTCTACGAGAGAAACATTTTGATGACGTCGAACTCGTGCGGATGATACTGGATTTGAGGACAATGTCCCCCAACAACGCTGTTACAATTCTGGAACGTCTTTTTGAGCAATGGCGGATCGAGCACACATTGCCCATAGATATCGCCCACCAGTTCTTAGCGGCTGGATTTGACGAGACCACGGTGCTGTCGTTGCTGGAGAAATTCTGTGGCAGCATATCTAGCCTTGCGCGCGCTCTGTCGGTAGCGAAGATTGATCCCGCCACAAAGCATACGGTAGATGTTATGCAGAGTCAGCTGATGTTGACCTGGCTGCCCCGTGATCAACCCTTTGCTGCTGTCTACGACATCCTGAAGCCGCCCGAGTCGAGTACGACAGGTCTCGTCTTCCAAAACTTGGACACGCTGGTCGAATACGCTGCAGCGCACAACGCAGTGCCTTCTAACACCAAGATCGACGTATTTGCGTTTCTACGAGAGAAACATTTTGATGACGTCGAACTCGTGCGGATGATACTGGATTTGTGGACAATGTCCCCCAACAACGCTGTTACAAGTTTGGAACATCTTGTTCGGTTATGGCAGGCCGAACGAAAATCGGCCATAGATATCGCCCACCAGTTCTTAGCGGCTGGATTTGACGAGACCACGGTGCTGTCGTTGCTGGAGAAATTCTGTGGCAGCATATCTAGCCTTGCGCGCGTTCTGTCGGCAGCGAAGATTGATCCTGCCACAAAGCATACGGTAGATGTTATGCAGAGTCAGCTGATGTTGACCTGGTTGATCGAAGGTCATACCATTGATATCGTCTACAACATCCTGAAGCCGTCCGAGTTGAGTACGACAGGTCTCGTCTTCGAAAACTTGGACACGCTGGTCGAATACGCTGCAGCGCACAACGCAGTGCCTTCTAACACCAAGATCGACGTATTTGCGTTTCTACGAGAGAAACATTTTGATGACGTCGAACTCGTGCGGATGATACTGGATTTGAGGACAATGTCCCCCAACAACGCTGTTACAAGTTTGGAACATCTTGTTCGGTTATGGCAGGCCGAACGAAAATCGGCCATAGATATCGCCCACCAGTTCTTAGCGGCTGGGTATGATGAGTCCACGGTGCACTCGGTGCTGTCGCAAGTGTACGGTATTGTGGCTGGCCAACATCGCGCGCACCAGCAGCTAAGATAGACGATACAAGCACAAACAAAGCAGAGATTTTGCAGAGAAGGATGTTTGCAATCTGGCCGTAAGGCCGTAAACTCATCGACTTTCTCTCTAAATTCTGAAGATCTCGGACGATACGAAGAATGTCTGGGTATGTGAGAACGCGGACAGTTTCATCGAACACGGAGCATAAGGAACGAGATGTGTGTTTTTTACCACGGTTGATACGTCGGGGTAAGTGTTGCAGTGAATGTGCTTTCTTAAGACCCCCTCCCCTTGTCGGTGACGAGCCTGTGTAGAGCACTACTTGTAAGTCCGCCTTTTCGCAACGACAGACAGGTACTTATGCCGATAAATGCAACGAATAGACGTGCTGTGCATGCAAAGCAGCATTCGTGTATGGTAACATGTATGCTTCACCGGTACCGGTGCAAATGGGTATGCATCAATGCTGGGTGTCCATTGACGCGTGCGCACACGCTACTTTTTGGGTGCAAGAAAACAACAGCTTTGGCGTGGATTTAAAACCAATTGCAACGATGCTCTTAGCCGCTTGGTGGAGGGACGCAATACTAGTTGCGACGAACTTATGCAGGGGCAACACAAGATTGAACGTCCAGTTGAGCCGATGCACTAACGTGACACGCATACTACCGATATACGGAAGGAACCCAGAGCTTCTTGAATTGTCACACTTTGTCGTTCATACAGATGGGGAGCACTACTACCTCTTTGCCGGTGTACGGAAGCTGCGCGACGAAGTCCTGCAGTGATACTCGAGAAAGCTAAAATGCCCACGACTTTCCCTGCTTTATATTGCAGTGCTGACAGTAGGAGAACAGGATGTGTTTCCCAATATCACATGACCACTCCTCGACGCGAGGCAGAAAAACACTGCTGGACGACTGCTAATGTCCTACTTTCACATCGTTTCCTCTCCGAGTCCGCAGGGACAGAATGAGATCTGAGCTCGAGACGCATTTCGTCCACCAAGTCGTTCCCGTGGCTTCTATCACCGCCAATGCATTTGCGTGAGATCGTAGCAGTGTCTAGTCTGACGACTATTTGTAGCACCCGTTTCGGCGTCAAAATCGAGCAGCGCCTAATTCGCGCCTGTGGGTAAGCCAGCCGATCATTGTCTCGACAGATCAGTGAGGCCTCCCTATCTACATCAAGCCACGACACAACCAAGTGCACATATATTCATCTGCTGTGCATTGACCGTCTACACACTTTCAGAGGAAGTCTCGTTTCACGCGTGTTGGCTTCCGTCGTCCGCAATGATCTTCAGGTCTACAACAACCTTCGTCGCCTTCCTCAATGACGCTGACGACAGCGCTTTGCTGAGCCGTCCACGTAGAGGCACTATAAGCTCCAGACTGGTTGTTCTCGACCCTTGATTTCGTTTCGCTAGCGCCCCTGATTTTATAACGTAGACGCGTGTTCCCTACGGACACATTCTCCGCTGTGCAAAGCACTACCGAGTTGTAAGATTGTCTCGATTACGGGAATCTGGAAAGTATGATGTCTGAACCTTCTTAGCATCGTGAATGGAACTGACGCCAGAGACGTCGCAACTAGCACGCCTCCAAAGCAGGTCCTGGAATCGCCGAGTTTGATTCCCATTCGCGCTTCGAGTAGTAGACACAACCCGTGCGTGCTTGGATCAGAGGCGACATGGAAACAGAGGCCATTACCATCTTCAATAGGTTAGGGCGACACGGAACGGTTTTGCGACCTCAGTCGAAGCAACAGAGAGCACAACAACTGAGCCATCGAGAGCAAGCCGATGCTCAAGGCCTAGAATATCTAGTCGAACGAACAACAGGACACGGAGGCGCTGTCGCAACTGTTCCGTGTGGATAAGGTAGAACCACGCGCCCGTGCCACTGATCAGCTTTTTTGCGTCGGATGGACCCAACCCGGCAAGATCACTGCGGTCGCTCTAGCGCGATACCATCAGCGAAGATGAAGACGTCCACAAAAAGAGGCCCTGTGCTATCGTCTGGCTCTACGCCATCACCCACGCTTTCATCCCCGAATTGCCGGCATCCTTCCGATTCACCGGCGCATCAACGAGAAACGACTAGCTCATGCTCGTGTGCTCTTTCTTGGTCGAACCAGTGATTTCATTCGGAATCTCAGCTCCACATCCAGTGTCTACTCCGGCGTTGTCAGTCCCTCAACAGCGTTATTTTCTCTTTCCCTGCGATCCGCACATTTACAAAGCCATATCCTTCCCTAGCAGTGGGAACTGAGCTACCAGTTCGAAGAGAACACCTACTGCAACGATCGTTACATTCCACTCAGGCCTCGATGTCGAAGCTTTCGACGCGAAAGTAGATGATGAAGGCCCCCTCGTTGCAAAGTTGCCAACCAAAGTGATGGCCTGTGACAAGGAGTAACCACTTTCACGCGCGGACTGATGGGTCAACTGTAGTCACGAGTGCACTAGTCAAGCGGCTACAGGAGTTGCGTTCGTCAGCGGTCGCGTGCAAGACAAAGACTCGGGTCTTCTCATCAACGAAGACGACTTGTCGTGCTTTCAACCGCCCGACTTTGTTTTTCTGTAGCTACCTGGCGCCAGATTCAACAACTAGCTAGAGATTTCTTCTCGAGCCATGTTGGACACGCACCGACTGCCGTGCTTGCAAATTTCATCGCTCCTTGTGATGTAGTCAACGCTGCGGTTGCCCATTTTTACCAAAACAACTTATGTCGCAACCTATGGAGTCCCTGGTGAAAGCAGATGCCGAAGGTCACGCGCTTGTCGTATCCTACTGTAGAGAGTATGCAATAGCGCAACGTCACCGGCATCTTTCAATCAACCTGTCTCCTGCCGATACACAGCAGCGCAACATGCACCCCACTAGAAACGCAAAGTGCAGCACCCGCTGACCGCTTCCAAGCCACAAATGAATACGTCCCATTGCCAGCAACCTCGCCTGGTCCTCTTGCACTCTATTCTCACGTCCAGGCAAGCACTTTTTCCTCCTCTTGCATCCCGCCTAGTTAACTAGTCGCAGCGAACAGATAGAGAATAGAGAGCTCGAACTCGAACTCCAATCTCTCCTTATTGCTCCTCCTCTCTCCCTCATCCCTTCTTCCCTTCTTCCCTTCTCCCCTTCTCCCCTTCTCCCCTTCTTCCTACTGGAAGACCACTTGCTTTGCCCCAAACCACCACCTGTAGCGGCATTGCGCTTTCACCGCCTCGAGCTTAAATGTCGTCAAAGTCAAAGCCAATGTCGTCCTCGCCGTCGCCTTCCATGGCCATGTCCACCGCCGTCTCGTTGATACGCGCATTGTCCGGCAGCTCCCCGTAGGCCTTGAGACTACGCGCCTCATCGGCGTTGTATTTATGAATAATATCCACCTTGCCGTCCTGGTACTCGCGCAGACTCACGAGGATAATGTCTCCCGCGCCGACCCAGACTTTCTTGCGCATCTTGCCACGGATGTGACCCAGACGCGTCACGCCGTCAAAGCAGTAAGCCTCCAAGCGTCCATTGCCCAGCATCCGCACCACCTGAGCATACTCTAGCGATCGCAAACAAACACAGTGTGCGTGTATACCGATTAGACTGGGAAGACACACACACACACACGTATACACCCACGCGCTCGACCCGCGTGCGGCCAGGAGAACCACACGACAACGGATGGCCGCAGAGAGCCCGTCCAAGCGCACCTTGTCCCTCCTCTTTGAAGTCGAGCTCGCGCTTGTTCTCGTCATTGTCGTTCTTCCCGCGTCGACGGTTTTTGCCTCCTTTGCCCTTGTTCTTCGGCATCTCTCGCTCCGTGCGCGCGAATCGTCGACTGGAGCGGTTTCGCGCGGGTGGCGTGCGACGCAGACTACTTTCAGCCAATCAGAGCGACAGGAAAATTAGGCTCCCGGGACGCCCCCTGCTACAGCACGAAAGACACTAATATTAATTTTAGTAAGGATAGACACAAGTATACTAACGGCAAATAGGAATACCAACAACGACATTATTATAACGGTTTGGATTGATCAATATAACAATCATACTAATTAAGATATTAGGACGTTTACTCAAAATAACTTCTGCAACAAAATAGCAACAATATTAAAAGGACATCACCTTTCATGATAACAATAAAAGTATCATAAGTAGCTGCAAATATCACCATTTTACCAAAAAATGCGACAACAACACAAACAGCTGCATCCACGATACCTCAGAGAAAGTACACTCAACAATACCAACACCATGGTAAAAACATCAATCACAATGTCCATTAGTAAAACTGTATGAATAAGTCATGATCCAATCCAGCAACACTGCTCTCTCGCTATAGGAGCGGTACCCCTATCGCCGAAAACGGATTCTAAGGACTCGATCCGTAAATAGCCGTAAATAACGTCCGAGGTGGCGCCGTATATAAGGATTAATCAAAAGTTCTTCGGAGACTCCCACTTGCTCTTCCCTTCGCTTCCCTCGCGCCTCTCCTGCGGTCTCACACTCTGCCCCCTCAAAATACTACCAGCTGCAGCTCTTCTCCCCAATATGCCCGCGAAACTCCCTTCAACGTAGCCCACGAAATTGACTACGGGCTTACCGTCGCAAGCCGGCTGCTGGGCTCGTCAAATGTGATCTCGGCGAAATGCCTCTTTTGCATCCACTTCGGCCGTGAAGACACCGCAGTTGCTCAACCCAAACTCCGCAAAACGGAGAATGTTAAGACGTTCACGGCACCGTTCCGTACGGACAACTACGTCCAGCATATGCGCGGGCAGCATAAAAATCGTTGGGAACGGTTCAAGGTTTTGGTAAGGGATTCCAAGGCCGCGTACTTTCAGAGGAATGCCCCGGTCCGCCATGCCAACACCATTTCTTCTCATTTCGCTGATAAACAGACACCACTGCAACTCCATGTCAATAAGGCCATTGTTGACGATATCATCGAGGCCCTGTTATTGGACCAGGACGACGACGACGGTCTTCTAAATGCCTCCAGGGAAAGAGCACTGAGGATCTTCCAGGAAGTAGACCCAGCCACGGTGCAAGACCCGCAATTGGCAGCGACAAAGTACGAAATCTAGATCACAAACCCTCGCCAGTTCAACCTGGTCGCCAAGTTCCTTAGCACTATAGTCTAATTTCGCCAATTAGAAACTCTGGAATCAATGACGAAGGAAGTCAGCGGCATTGCAGAGATAGGCACTGCCAAGGATGAAAAGATCATTCAATACGCTCGTTTTACATTGGCATTAAATTTGCAACACATCCAGGACATCTTGGAGAAGAGCTGGGTATTCTCAATCTCTTTGGATATGTCCACTCACATGTCGACGTCTTACCTCGATGTCCGCCTTCGACTCTTCTGGCATAGAGAGATCCTGAACCTGCACCTGATTGGGATCCCGGTTTTCGGCAGGCATACTGCAGCAGAGGTGTACCGCCAAGATTCGGCAGTACTGAATGTGCTCTGCCCCAATGGAGGAACATGTTGATTTCCATCTCAACGGATGTCGAACCAAGGAGGAAGGGACGCATTGCTGGAGTCGCAACGTTGTTTGAACAAGCCGCACTCCCTGGTTTCCATCGCATCTGGTGTGGTTTAAATCAGCTGGACTTGACTTTTCGATCGTTCTACGAAGATTCGATGGACGAGCAATTTGTGTCACTTCTCACAGCCCTCATCGGATACCTGCGCCGGCAACAAAACTTGATTAACGACATGGGTACGAAATGCCGGACGCTCGCTGGAACAAGGTGGGAATCCATGTCAAACGTAGCCAGCTGCTTCAAAATGCACCGTGTAGATATCATGGAATATGTCCGGGCGAAGAATACTTTTTGTAAGCCGTCGCATGAATGGTGGGTTGTCCTAATGTTCGTAGAAGATGTGTCCGCAGCCGCAACAGCCACGTTCAAGCAGCTGCAACGGGACGACACTTTGGTATCTAAGCAGCGCCAAGCGCTTGCAAACTTGCAGGCTTCCTACCAAGAGATGGTCAACGCGAACGGGCCATTAACATCCGGACAGCGGGCGGATATTAACGCAGACAGCAATGTGGCCTCCCTCGACGGTTATATACAACCCAGACCGCCGCCGTGATAACATTCCTTGAAAATATAGCCGGTTTCGTGCTGGATCGCATGCAAGATGCTGGGCGAGTCGCGGTGGATAACTTGGCACGAAACTTGGGCAAGGGAATAATGAATCTGATTGATGGGTTGGATCAGGTAGTAGCTGAACGAAACTGAAGGGTACAGCGCTTCCCTGGATATTTTGCCACCGGTTTCACCGCATGAGCTCCTTATGTTAAATGGAAAAGACTTCACTTCGATTGTGCGCGCGCAACGCGAACGTCTGGAGGGTCGTTCGGCCCCTGTTTCTGCGCAAGCGACAATGGATTTCATTGGAATCAAGTTTCGCGATCTGAAGAAGGCTTACCTCGACGAAGAGCCTTTTCGTAACGCGATCGATGCATGCACTACCATACGCCTTTCAATAAGGCATGGGAAATTACCATGTGTCGTTTCAAGAACTTGGAGAAGTTTTGCGGTGGGCTCGCAAGCACATTCCCAGGGACGTTATCATGGAAAGCGACTTCTCCATCCTCAAATGGGAGAAAGATATTCACCGCATGAGCTTGACAGACTTCTCCCTGGAAGGCGTGATGCACGCACGGCAGTTCAAGCGCCTACAAAGCCTCACATTCTGATCACCCGCGTTCTGTTGCTATGGAAATGTTGTAGACGTATCCATCCTTTTGTTTCATTTCACATTCTTTTTGTGTCGTCTCGGGGGAATCTTCAGTGTCAATACAGACCGCCGACTTCTTTCGAACTGATTTGGACGTTCCTTGCCATGTACATAAGGATCCGTAAATAACCGCATCTCGGGTCGGGCCCCGCGCCGTAAATAGCGTAGTTACGGCGTATCCGGATCGTCCGTATATAGGAGCAATACCCCTATCGCTCACCGTTCGGATACGACCTATCCGTAACCGCAACGTGACCATCACTCTGTCCATGCGCGCTGCCATCGCGTGCGCGCGCCTCAGCACTCGCCCCGCGTCGCACTGCGGCCGCCCTCTACTCGCCGATGGCCTCCTCCACACCGCCCGCTTCTCGACTCCGACAGCGTCGAGCGACCACGTCGCGCTCGGCTTCCCGGCCGCCCAATCACCCCAACCGCCGCCGCTCCCTCGACGGCTACACGACCGCCACAGCGACCGCCACGAACAGCAGCAGCAGCAGCGCCCGATCGTCTGCAGTCGCGTTGGGTCTGTCCATGCGCACAGCTCGCACGCGCTTGCTCCAGGCCATCCAGTGCAAGATCCAGGAGAAAGAAGACTCGAGGACGCCCACGACGGCGCTGTACGACCCGTTTCTGCTGCTGCTGGCGCTGTGCGCGTCTTTCCGCGTCGCGGATGCGGTCCGGCGCGTGGCTGGAGCCGATCAGGACGGAGACGCGCGAGGACTGACGGCAGTGGCCGAAGCAGCGTTCCTCGTGGCTGCCGCGGGGGGAACGTCCTGTTGAACGGGAGGCAAACGCGGCGGTATCACGCCGAGACGGCGGAGCGCGTTCGAGTGGCGGTGCAGCAGATGGTCCGAGGTACACGGGACGGGGAGAAGGAGCAGCTCTTCGATCAAGCAGAGGACGAGCCACGGCCTTCGTGGCTCGGAGCTGAACGCGAGCCGACGGTTCTCTTGCCGTCACATAGCTACATTGCGTGCTTTCGCGACAACCAGTGGCAACGGATGCCGATGAATTTGCTCGTCGAGGGCGACGTTGTGGGGCTCATGAGTGGGGACATTGTCCCGGGCGCCGTTCGGTCCGTAGAAGGCAGTGCAAATGAAGAACAGCAAGTGTACCCGCGAGGACGTAAGCTACCGCCGTGGACTCGGAAACAGGCGAAAGACACGACAAGATGCACTGCAACGTTTGACCCGCCGCTGCTGCTCGAGCTGTGTGGGGAGATGCGGATTTTCGAAATGATGGAGACGCCCGTGGTACGAGACATCGAAGATGCTTTGTTTCGGATCAACAGGCCCGTCACACCGACACAAAAGCTGCAGACTCTTGCAAGACTCGTGGCCGCGCGCGTTTGCATGTGGTACTCCGTGTTGCTGCTTGCTGCAATTGGACTGCGTGCAGTCGTGCAGCATCGGTCTCTCGACGTTACTCTCGCGCACATTCTTATGGGGCCGATAGGCATCTGGCTTTGTTTCGCTTCACTCAACACACCGTTGGTTCTGTTTGTTGCCGAGGCAGCTGCCACTGCTTCTATCTTGGGCTCATTCGATGACATTTTGGTCCCGACAGAATTCAAGAAGCAGAAAGGGTCGAAGAAAGCAAGTGACAGCAATGCAGACGGATCTATTAAGGAGCAAGTAAGTGTACAAGCAAAGACACCAGACGTGAACAGCGAAACATCGAAAGTGCTCAAGAACAAGGCGGGCTTTGACGCGTACACTTCTCGCGTTGACAGCGCGATGGCATCGATTCTGAAAGCGACAGCGCTCGTACCACCCGATATGTACGACGTCGATGACCGAGAAAAACTGCGCTCGGAAAAAGCTGAAAAGCAATCTGCCGTGACACGGTCGCTTCAGTACTTTTTGGTCGTACTTCGATTTCGTATAATGCGGTGTGATCGCGCACATGTGTCCGACCGGCGACACCTACCGGTACCTTTCCGCTCTTTCCGGCTGCTCGAGCGGTTGGGGAACATCACGATGCTGTGTTGTTTTGACGATGATATTTTGTGCGAGCAGACACCATCAGTGGAAGAGATCTTTCTGCTCAATGAGAAACAGAACAACAATTCGACGGTTCTGGATCTGCATGCTGAGCGCAATTGCGACACAGGACTAAAGTTTGAGGACCCAAAATGGAAGCAGCACTTAGCATCGCTTAAGCCAATTGGATTGGCAATCATGGTGAACGATGACGAAAACCCAGCCCGACACTACGATGAAAACATGCGTTATCTTGTAAATGAGAGGCTTTGTCCGGTTGATGACGAAGACACGCGTGATCCGTCTTTGCGAAGCTGTATGCAACGTCTCGCAGCTCATATCCGGATGTTGCCATTTCCAAAGTATCTGCTAAATCTCTCTCGTGAAATGGGCTTTTGCGTCGCGGAGGACTTGACGATGTTCGAAAGACGCCAATCTGTTCACATAATCTGTCCTCGTCTCGCGCATCATGAACACACGAACGATCATCATGACCAAGGCCAGGAAGATACGCGATACCGGGGCAATCTGAAATCGCATCTCTATTCGACAGTCATTCTCGACAAGCGTTCCAATCGCCATCAGCTACTGTCACGTGGTCATCCGACTGTTGTGCTTGCTCATTGTAGTGAATACTGGGACGGCAAGTCCATATGTCCACTGACAAGCGAGAAACAACGCATGATTCTTGACATGTACAATCAGTGGCGCGTCGAGGACCTGGATTGCGTCGCTTTCTCGTATGTTCCCGTCCCTCACAAGCTCAATCATCTTTTTAGCCAGACTGGATTCAACAGCAACACACACAATGGATGCTCGACTCTCGGTCTACCAAACCGATTTGAAGGTAAAATGCCACCTGTGTATCTTGTGGACGACAGTACGACGAGCGGGTTGAACTCCCCGCACTCACCCATACGACGAAGCAGTATACCTTTCTCCAGCAACGTGAGTGAAGACCAAGGATGTGGACACGAAAACAGACGCCAGAGGCATTCCATCAATCCAGCGTCACCACTAGTTTCGCCGAACTCAGCCGACGGCACGCCGATAGACCAGGACCCGGTGCCTGGTAAGCAACCAGCTAGGTCAATGGAAGTCCCGCCAAGTGGGCAAGTAACGCCGCCTGTCAGACGCCGCGGGATCCTGACGTTCAGCGACTTTGAGTCGTCAGCGGGGCCGCAGCCATCCGAAACGAGCTCTGCTGAGAAAGAGTCCAGGCTTTGGCACATTCAAGATAATCAGATCTTCTTGGGTATGGTCGCAACAGGAGTCCAACCGAAGCAACATACTCCTGACTTTATCGAAGACTTGAATGCGTGCGGTGTTCGCTTTGTGTACTTTTCTCCGCGCAACATGCGCAGGAGCAAACTGCTTGCCGAAAAGATGGGCATCGAGACAGACTGGAATTGTGCTATTTCGCTGCGCTCACTTGACAGTGACGACCCCGATCCTCACCGCATGACTTCAAATTACTCGGACTGGGACGTGAAAGCCCGCTTGCCACATGGCGTGGAGGCTATCAAGCGACATATTGCTGAAGTGGACAACGTGCCGTTGTTAGTGTCGCTATATACGGACAGCACGCCCGAAACGATCAGCGAGATGATTTCCATTTTCCAAGAAAATCATGAAGTGGTAATGGGTGTTGGCTCGTCCTTGAAGGAGAGCAACGCGCCTTTATTTTCGAAAGCAGACTTGGCGGTGGCATTCCAGGGAGGAGTACAAGCATTCTTTGATAAGTCAATTCCTTGTGGAAAAGAGCTGCCCGTGCTTTCCGATGAGGACATTCAGTTCAGCCACATTCTCAACTCGCTAGCGTGTGCCTTCCGCTTGAAGAGCGCGTCAGATGACGCGGAAAGTCACGAGAAGGGAAGCGCAGATTTTACTGGCAGCAACGACGATGCCACTAGGGGCGGAACAGCTAGTGTGGCTCATTTGATCGAACTTATTCGACTGGGACGACGTATGCTTACGAATTATTACCAGATGAACGCGTTCATCTTCGTCTCGCAGCTTTTCATCGCCACGATCGTTCTCGTCTCGTATGCCGTACCGTTCCCGCACTTACCGCAGCTGAGCTGCTCCTCAATGTTTTGGCTGTTGTGGGTTTTGGTTCCAGTACTCGGTCTCTCAATGCTTGCGTCAGCATGTGAGAAAGACGTGATGAAAAAGACACCGCGTAAGAACGAAGAAATTGATATGGAAGAAGATCTGCCACGATTGATAGGATACTTCGTCGTGCGTCATGTGCCGTCAGCACTGCTATCCATTGTTGTGTTCGAGTGCTTGCTTGGCTTTTCTCTTCAAGCATCACACATTTATAATCCAGACGCTTTCGGAGTCAAAAAATTCCACGACTTCCAATGGACCGATTTCCTCTGTGATTACGAACTCGAGACGATGAGGCCACGGCGAGCTGCTGTTGTTGCCGCAGTGGATCGCGCCGAGGCCGGTATGCTGCTATCGATTGGTATCTGTATTGTAACTTCATCGTGCGAATATCTGTATCGATGTGAGAGCATTTTGAAGGTATCCCCGTTTCGAAACATCATTTGGGTGGCCGTGTCGACTGTGATGCTGTGCTTGCACATCTTGCTTTGCATCTTTCGCGCGGGAATCGTCGGTCCCGACGGAGTCACTCTATGGCAATTCGTGAGCCAGTCAGTCCCACGGATGTTTTGGATTGTGATATTAGGCTTGTGGCCGCTGGTCGTTATTTGCGTGGACGAAGCAGTCAAGATGCATGACAAACGACACCTCGTTCGTTACAATAAATTTCTGCGAATGCAGTTTGACACGCGGCTCGGAATGTGGAGCCCCAAATAAAACGGTTGCAAAACATTGATTCCGATATTTCCATGGCGATAACAACTGACGTCTGTCATTGATTGCACTCTCTGTGCTCGGATGATACCGTACTTGGATTGGATTGCCAATCGCTTTGCACATTGACTCACACGTAGTCATGGCAAAGAGTACGTGTGATCTACGTTCTAGTGTCACTGTGCAATCACAGATTGGGGTGGACTCCACGGTTTCAAGCGATACTTGGAGTGTACAAATTGCAGGCATTAGACATCAGACATCAAGCACCATGAGCCTGCTGGGAATTCCACATCAGCTCGCATCGACTCGCACAAACTTGGGCGTTGTGGCTCAGGAAGAGGAGGCTTGTCATATCCCGTACAAGCACTGAAAAGGCAACAATTGGGGGCAGAAGGAACGGGACCAGCTGTTGAAGTGTTTAAGTTTGTACAGTGTATTGTGTGTGATACAGACTCTTGGGAGTAGTCATGTAATGCCAGTCGACACTTTCCGTCACGATACCCCAACCTGAGGCATAAGCGTGTTAAGGGTCGCAGGAACAAGTGGCGGGCAGTCAACGCATAAGTGGATATATACATGTACATATACATGTATGCATATACATATATCTATGCGCGTGTGTTTTGCCCGACATCTCTGTTCGTCGGACTTCCCCGTGGATACAAATTCCTACACCGGCTGTGTAAGAGAAGCAGTCAAGCGTTTGCTACTGTAGTACTGTAATGAAATGAGAACGAGCACCGGATGTCTGTCACTTGCTGTGCCTACATTTGTACGACGAAAGCACTTTGCAAAAAAACGAAAGTATCGACAAGCTCCTTGCGAGGAACTGTGGTGTAAACCTGTACGTAGATAGCTTCGATACGATCTGAAGCCACAGGACTTCCAGGCCACCACTTCGCACCATGCTGTGGATCCTTTGCTGTACAAGAGGTTCATCTGTGATGCGAGCATTGTCCTGCATGATAGACACGTGCTAGTACGAGATACTGAACTGCAGAGAAGGTATCGAGCAAGAACGGGCGATCAACATGGAATGTCTATTTCTCCATTGACTTCCGGTTTCACATGGAAAGATTAGCAGGAAATAGACCCGTACGCTGCGTGTTCTTACAAACGACTCTCGCTCCTTTGGGCTGCATACCACTTGTGTTTGGAACGCGGCCACTTGTCCGCTGGGTTCATATATATACCCTGTCAGCCAGTCCACTCCTGGCACTTGATTAGCTCATCCATGCACGCGGTTCTACTCTCCTCCCGTCGACGAGCTCCTGTGACGCTGTTATACCACTGGTGTGTGTGAGATAGAGATGGTTGCGAGACGACAGCGGCGGGAGTGGCATGACAGCAGACGACGGATGGCCATCGAAAAACAAAGATAATAGCTGCACATGCACGATGGACTCTCTTTGTATTTTGCTGCGGTTTCCTCGATTCGACACCGCTCGTACCTTCGACATTGCTCTAACAATACTGAGCTGTTGATAAAGTGGCACGAGGCGAGTTCACGATGAGGAATGTGGGACAGAGAAGTCGACTCAATACGACTCATTGCAATCAACGTTTCGACCGACATAGACCGCTGTGCAGCCTGAACCTCCCCATCGTGCTCACGCTGGCATGTTGCGCGTGCAGACGACTTGTTGAAATCGACTACGCACAGTCGAATGGTAGGCGAACTTTTCTTGGCATCATGCAAAGAGGCTTAGTAGGTCCATGAGTCGAAGGACGAGAAAGCGGTTTGATACTGAGTTAGTCCGGTAAAAGATAGCAAAGTGATGACATGACCGCAGTACGAAGACCCCCAGAGTCAATGCAATGACTGACGTAACACCTACAGAGAAAGCTCTCGTGTCCAGTGTGTATTTGTTTGCTGCAATCTGAGCATTCGGAAGCGGTCGTACCGCCTCGTGCTATAGTACTACTTTCTGCCTTTTCACGGAATGGACTCGCGATATGACCTTTTTTCTATGCCGTTGCACACGCTTATCGTCGCATAGCGACTTGTATTGAGGCGTACACGGTACTCGAAGCTCTTTTTTCACTTTCTGCAAAAAGCCATCAACCAATTGAACAGCATGCGGTCGTCGAAGTGGCCTTCGACAACATGTTCTTTTTCGTGCATCGAACAAAGAAAAGCACTTTGTTTCAATGTCCGTGCGCAGTGCCCGTTTTCCACCAATCCCCGCCGCAAGTCCCCACCACCAGTAAACAACCAGCAATAAAAAACGCAGACGTCCATTTCCGCTACAATACAACGCCGGACAAAATCCACAAACCCACAATATAGCGCCAGCATGGAAGCCAAAGTGCGGTTCCACGTGCGGCAGTACCTGCGCGAATGCGAGGCGCGCGGCGCGTGTCCAGGCGACGTCACCGTCACGTCGCACTTGCGCGAAACGTATGCCGAGTACCAGCGCAAACCACTGGCTGCACTGCGCAAAGTCGTGGCCAAAGTGCTGACAACGACCGCCGCGCCGGTGCCAGGCCTCGAGACCAACCAAATGGACTCTACGGACAACAATACTACGACGACCGCCCGCAATTGTAACAATGCGACGATCGCCAATAATCACGCGACGATCGCCAATAATCACGCGACGATCGCCAATAATCACGCGACGAGCCATCCAATCAGCGCTGGCCGCCGCCCCACCCACGCGCCGGGCAAGAAGACCCGCAATAATGGCAATACAACGCACGGCCGCAGTGCCTCGAGCGCCGACGGCCCGAAGCGCGCGCGCACCGACGACGACGACGACGAGCGCCTCGAGCACACGGCCGGCGCAACACGTGCCGCAACCGGTGCGGCCAATGCACTGACTCGCGCCGTGCAACTAACGTACGTGGCCCAGGCCCCAAACGCGTCAAAAGCAGCGGTGAAAAAAGCGAAACGTGGCCGGCACAAGATAGAAAAAGCTCTCGAGCAAAACAGCGACAACAACGACGACGACGTGGGGTTTGTCGTCGAGCGCCCCGACGTGCGGTACGCGGACATGGGCGGCCTCCACGCGGTGCTGCAGGACATTCGGGAGCTCATTGAGTACCCGCTGAGGCATCCCGAGCTCTACGTGCACTTGGGGGTGGAGCCCCCGCGGGGCGTTCTGCTGCATGGACCGCCCGGGACAGGCAAATCGATGCTGGCGCACGCGATCGCCGGCGAGTGCGGCGCGACGTTCCTCAAGATCGCCGCGCCCGAAGTCGTGTCGGGCATGTCGGGCGAGTCGGAGCAGAAGGTGCGGGCGCTGTTTGCAGAAGCCATTGCGTGCGCGCCGTCGATCGTGTTTATCGACGAGATTGACGCGATTACGCCCAAGCGCGAGACGTCGGCACGGGGCATGGAGAAGCGCATTGTCGCGCAGCTGCTCACGAGCATTGACTCGCTGAGTTTGGCCAACACGGGCGGCAAACCCGTGGTGCTCATTGGCGCGACGAACCGGCCCGACGCGCTCGACTCGGCGCTGCGGCGCGCGGGCCGCTTTGACCGCGAGATCTGTCTCGGCATCCCCGACGAAGCAGCGCGGGACAAGATCTTGCGCGTCTTGGCACGGAAAATGACGCTCGAGGGGGCGTTTGACTTTGCAGCGCTCGCGCGTCGCACACCGGGGTACGTGGGCGCAGACCTCGTGTCGCTGACGAAGGAAGCGGCGGTTGGCGCCGTGAACCGTATCTTCACGACCATGAAGGAAGCGGACAAGGCGGCCGTCGCGATGGATGCAACGAGTGAGGTGGCTGTGTCCGAGACAGCGGGGACAAGTGGTGTCAGTAATGGAGTGACGGAGATGGAGCTGACGCTGGATCCCGCGACGGAGCAGAGTGGGGATGCGCTCCGGTCGGCAGCAAATGACGTGCGCGTTCAGGTGACGCCGTTCACGGAAGCGCAGTTGGCGCCGCTCAGCATCACAATGGCGGACTTTGAAGCTGCGATTCCAAAGGTGCAGCCGAGTTCGAAACGCGAGGGGTTTGCGACGATTCCAGACGTCTCATGGGACGACATTGGTGCGCTGAAGGAGGTCCGCGACGAGCTGTCTCTTGCCGTGCTGCAGCCCATTGCGCACCCGGAAAGGTTCGCAGCGCTTGGCTTGTCCATGCCTGCTGGCGTGTTGCTGTACGGGCCACCGGGTTGCGGCAAAACGTTGCTGGCAAAAGCCATTGCCCACGAAAGCGGAGCCAATTTTATCAGCATCAAGGGACCTGAACTGCTCGACAAGTACGTGGGCGAGTCGGAGCGGTCCGTGCGGCAGGTGTTCCAGCGCGCCCGCGCGTCGTCTCCCTGTGTGATCTTTTTCGACGAGCTCGACGCTCTCGCGCCGCGCCGCTCCAGTGGGTCCAATGGCGACGCTGGCGGCAACGGCGTCAGTGAGCGCGTGGTGAACCAGTTGCTGACCGAGATGGACGGCTTGGACGGCCGGCGCAACGTGTTTGTGATTGCCGCGACGAATCGCCCCGACATTATCGACTCGGCCATGCTGCGTCCCGGTCGCCTCGACAAGCTGCTGTACGTCCCGCTGCCGGCAGCGGCCGAGCGGTATCAGATCCTCCAGACGCTCGCGTCCAAGTGTGCGATTGCATCGTCGGTTCAGCTCGAAGCTATTGCCGCCGACGAGCGCTGCGAGGGCTTTAGCGGCGCCGACCTCAGCGCTTTGGTTCGGGAGGCGGGCGTGGCGGCGCTGCGGGGGACGGACTTTTCGACGGCCGCGACGGTCCGATTACGCATTGAGCACTGCCACTTTCTGAGTGCGCTCGACCGCGTGGTCCCGTCCGTGTCCCGTGCTGACCAGCGCCTGTTTGACCGCATGCAGAAGAAGAACCTGCGGAACTCGCGGTCCGACTTGACGCGACGCTCGAGCGGCGCGGCCGTCCCGCTGAGCAGCGCAGCAAAGGGCGCAAGAAGTGGAGCTGCTGACGCTGAAGACGGTCGGGCGACTGGCGACGTCGATCGGTCGTAGAGGACGGCGAGAAGCGATGCGAACACACGAGGGACAAAGCGGTTGAAGTGCAGCGGGTGAGAAGGCGACGTGCGCGTGGACGGCAGAGGTCGACTGGCACAGGGAGCGCGTGGACACTTGTGATCGAACAGAGAGAGAGGCGAAGCGTCAGGCGCTTCGCCTCTCTCTGCTGTGACCGATTATGGTCGGGAAGGCCGATAGGGTTTTGCAAATAGGGGATAGAGCGAGGCGCTGCGTCCGGCGGCATCCGGTACGATAACCGGTTTTTCCTTGGATTGGGTCCAGTGCGACGGTGATACCAAATGGGACCGTCGAGCGGGTGCGGCAACCTGACGAGTAGTGACATCGAACCCATTTGACGCCAGCTGCTGTGTGCTCTCTCTCTCTCCGAGCGCGAGTGTTGTTGTCCCGTCTGTCATCTCGTAACGACGCGCTGACGTGATCACATCGAGATCTTGCGCCTCGAACTCCCGTATTTACGACACCAGTGGGTGTGTGGATTCGATCAGCGGCTGGGCCGGTTGTCGTGTATACGTATAGCACGTGGTCGGCCCGGTTTTCTTTCTGACAGGGTTTCACGTCGCGATTGCAGCGCGGTATACGTGATCTCGTAAGCTGCATCTTGCGGCCCTTTGCTGTGCAATGGACGTCGTGCAGGATAAGAGCGCAGACAAGCGCGCATCGTTTTTTCTCGTTGCGATAAAACCTCGATAATATACACTCCAGCCACAACGGCGCCATGTCCGCGATCGTGCTGCGGTTCAGTTTTATCCACTCGGCGCCCACGGCCTCGCGCTCCCTACATGCTCACACGCGGCCTCCGCGCGACGCACAGACCGATTCGACACAGCAGCGCGACCGCCATGAGCACTCTCCGCACGACGACCGACGCCGAGCGTACTGTCATTCTGTCGCCCGAGAAACCCACGGCCGCTGTCGGTGCTTTTATCTGTTCGTGGGGCATGCGATAGTATCCGACATCTCCCTCGATGCCTCTTCCCACCAGGTCGTGTTCCTCCACGGGTTGGGCGACACCGGTCACGGCTGGAAAGACGCGATGACAGTGCTGGCCAAAAAGCTGCCACACGTAAAGTTTGTGCTGCCGACCGGTACGGTATACAACTTGTTGCGGCGCCGCGTGGACGCTGCAGTGCGTATCGATCCGTTGACGAAATATCTGGATAATGTTCGTGTGTCCAGCGTCGTCCATGGCCGTGACGCTCAATATGGGCATGCAGATGCCGGCATGGGTACACTTTTTTTTCTTCCTATTTTTCAACATTTGACAGATATAGAGTGTATACCTCTGTATACGAGCCCTTGTTGGCGATCCGTCGCCGCACTGACAAAAGAGGTGCACATTGCTGGATGCAGTACGATATCAAGTCGCTCGCTCGCGTGGATGGCGACAATGCCGACGGAATTGACCAGTCCCGTGACCGTATCCTGTCGATCATTGAAAAAGAGGTGAGGTGGACAAGAGATGCCACAGAGTTGCAGTCGTGCAAACGGGACACGATCTTGCTGATACTTGTTATTGATGTTGTTGTTGTTGTTGTTGTTGTTGTTGTTGTTGTTGTTGTTCTTGTTGTTGCTGTTGTTGTTGTTGTTGTTGTTGTTGTTGTTGTTGTTGCTGATGTTGTCATTTGTTGCTGTTGTTGTTGTTGTTGCTGTTGTTGTTGTTGCTGTTGTTGTTGTTGTTGTGATTGTGGCTGGGTTCTTGCAGGTGGCGCAAGGCATTCCTCTGTCGCGCATTGTGCTCGGTGGGTTCAGTCAAGGTGCAGCGCTGTCGATGTTCTCGGGGTACCAGACAGCGACGGCACTGGGTGGGGTCATTTCCATGTCGGGATACCTCCCGCGTTTCAGCGTACGTCATTGTGTCGTGTTTGTGGACATGGACAAAGAGCGACAGTAGGGCGGGAGGTGGTCTTGACCGTGTTTTCTCACCCGTGTGCGGCAACAGTCATTTCAGCTCTGTCCGGAGACGGCGAACGTGCCGCTGCTCATGTGCCACGGCGAGCAGGACCCAGTCGTGCGCTTCGAGTACGGCTCGATGTCCAGGGAGAAGCTAGAGGCGGTAGGCGTGAAAGACGTCGAGTTCCACTCGTACCCGGACATGGAGCACAGCGCGTGCATGGAAGAGTTGAGCGACGTGACCAAATGGCTTCAGCGCGTGATCCCGGAGACGCACAACTAGCTGCCGCTTGTGCCTACCATGCGAGAGCGGCAAAATGCACTAGTCTTGATGACGACGAAATCATGTTCTTCTTGCTCACATTCACACGATCCCGTATCATCGTACCACGTGAAAGAACGACCGCATGCGTCTGTGCGACACAGAGATCTGCATTTGGCCAACAGTACTGTTTGCATGCAGTAGCTCATTGCGTGCACACCCCTTCGATCAACGCGTCTGGCGTCCTGTGTCCAGCAGCTTCCAAGACTCTTGTCAACAAGCACAAGATGATAGCCATCGAGAGCAAGAACCCCACGGCGGGTTATGTTTGTTTCTGCACACGGCAGTGACCAGGACGATGGGTTTCCGCAGCGTTACGAATGCATCGTCTTGCGCTGCATTTGTGGCGACCATAGCATCCATCACCAGAGTCGGCATTGACACACCTGCTTCATTATGCCAGCTGCTCATGACCATTGACCATCCCAGCGCCAGGGGATCCCTATGCAAGTACACACGTTGACACGAAGTCTCTCGAGACGAGGCGACCAGACTCAGGTAGCTCTCGTGAGTACGCAAGCACGAGACCGCATTCGTGCATGGTCACTGTCCATCTTCTTCGGTAGGCTCGCAATCAACGATGACCGCCGTTGCTCTTCTGCGCTAACAGGTAAGCGATCCTGATCAAATCGTCACACTGACGCTCTCGAGCACTTGACGTTTGCGGTTTGCCAAGCGACCATGCGACCATGCGACGAGTCCGTGACTCAGATCCTGCACGTCATGTTCCGTGTCGATCGATCGTTGTCATCAAAAGCACACGACACCTCACAACGACGTCAGATAGCACAGCACTGTTGGAGACCTGTTGCGCCTCGAATCTTGGTCGCAACGGCTTGTTATTATCGACATCACTGCGTCAGCAGAGACGAGCTAGAAAGCCGCAGCAGCCCGGTGCGCAAGCAACAAAGTCAAACTGAGGCAGAAGAGCATTCGAGATCTACCGCCACGACGCAAGCACTAACTGTGACACGCTCACTAGTGCTACTTGTGGCCGCCAACGACAGGCTTGACGCTGTGCAGACTGCCAGCACGACAAACAACAAGCAAGTGCACCCATCCACCCACACAAAGAGTACACCCCCCACACACAGAGTCAACACCCACAACATCCGCACTGCTTCAAGTGCTGCATACACATACCCACGTACTTGATGGTGATGCGGAGGTTGCTGCCCTTTGGCACGTCAAACTTCTTGGGGTGCGAGCGAAAGTGGTTGATAATGTTCGACACGTCCAGTCCGCCACGTGCGGCGCCCTTCGCCTTCCCCTGCGGCGGCGCCGGCGACTGCAGCTTGCGCACGGCCGACGTCTTGCGCGGGCGCAACTGCACCGTCGCAACGGCCTTTTTCCCCTTCTTTCCAGCCAGCACAAGTCCCGTCCGCCGCTTGTTGATCACAGTCTGTCTCTTGGCCGACGCCATCACAAGAGACGCCTTCGCGCGCTGTCCACACACACAGCACACAAAAGAGCTCAGCCACCGCATCGTCTCTCTCTCTCTCTCTCTCCCTCTCTCTCTGGACGTACAGCAGCTTTGGACACGGGCACGAGCACTGTCTTCTTCACGTTCTGCTGCTTGTGGCTCTTTGTCGACTGCTGCTGCTGCTGTTGCAGCTGTTTCTTGCTGCTCTTCTTGTTCGTCTTGGCCCCCGTAGACGTCTGTTTGGCTTTGCTTTGTTGCTGTCTGGTTTTCTGGATCAACGCGTCTGAACCGAACAAAGCAGTTTATATACAAAGTCACAAGGCGAGAGAGGTCGTCAGCAAACGCGGAAACAAAGAGCAGCGCGAGACCGATACGACAGCAGCGCGTCGCACGTACCGAGCGGGAGCGACAGCTTCTCTTCGGACGAGATGCCGAGCGAGAACGCGCCGCCAGACGTCGTCATGTGTCCCGATCACGTACGTGCCTTGTTGTAAACTGTGTGTAGTTTCGTGCTTTTTTTCGCTTTTTTGCTAGAAAGCAAGTCACTGGTGTGAAAAGCGACTCGGCGACGCTCACGAGGTGGCGGTGGCGGCAAAAACCGGTTTGGGACACTGGTTTCTCGCGGGCCTGTGGAAAAACCGACGCTTTCGTGCGTGACTCAGGCGTTCGCATTCGTTTTGTAGATAAAGCTGTGTTTTGGCCATCACACTGGAAACTATCTGGAAAGCTGTGTTTTGGCCATCAAACTGGAAACTAACTGGAAAGCTACTGGGTTAGAAATGCGACTCTTTTCCATAGACCGAGCTGCTGGGGTAGCAATGCGACTCTTTTTACAGCCCGAGCTGCTCGTGAAACAGCGGCGACGCCACGCGGTTCCAGTTCTCTGGCCAGTGCTGTCGAGAGAGCAAACGCATTCGGTCGGTCAGGCGTATCGACGAAAACGAAAAGGGACGAGAGACTGTGCACACTCACTTCCACTGTCGTGAGGGACGACCGTAGACGGTGGAGGTCGGCAGTGTCTGTCGGATGGCCCTTGAGAAGACCGTAGAGCTGGGCAGAAAGCTGCTCGGGAGACTCAAACACCAGGCCGTTCCTATGTCCAATCACGAGCACGCCAATGAACCGACACGACATGATCCACAGTGTACACACAGAGCCTTGCAACGTACTTGTCGTGCTGCACCAGTTCAGCCAGGCACTTGAATCCGATCGCGCAGACGGGAAGGCCGCAGCCAAACATGTCCAGCACTTTCATGGGTAAATCCAGGCCAGACGACGACGTGTGCAAGCACACGCCCAGATCGGCGCTGCCCAGAACGAGCGGGTAGTCACTTGCCTCGAGCCACCTAGTGGGCAAACGAGCAAACGTGAGAAACAGCGACCTTGCCATTCATCGCTCGACAAAAGCATTCCATACGTACATCGTAGCGATCCGAATGCGTTTGAACGCCAGCTGTCGGATCTTCTCCAGATACATGGCCTTCTGAGGTCCTTTACCCGTTACCACAACCAGCAGGTTCGGGAACTCGGACGAGCTCAACGATGACGTGCGTTGGTCCAGAAGCTCGAGAGCTGCGAGCAGAATACCAAAGTCTTCGTCTGCTGTCCAGCTCGTAGAGCTGATGATCACAGCTGGTCGATTCTCGCGAGCTTGCACCACCCCTGTTTCCTCCTTGCCACGGGGATCACTAACTTTGCGCGTGAGAAGCGTTTCCTCCAAGTTGTCCGGGTTTTGGTCCCACGTTACCAGCTACGCGCACATACGCACAAACGCCGCATCAGTCAGTATCGTTACACGCAAGGTAAAATCACTTGCGAACTATGACGGACGTCATTGCAATGCTCGAGCTGATCTCCCACTCGAGTGAACAGCCCATGCTGTGTGTCAAGCGACGTGGGTCTGAAAAAGACAGGAGGTTTGTCGTGCAGCACTGTTGCTTCGATTCGCCAAGTCTCTCGTAGCCACGTTTGCATTGCGTAGGTCACACACAAGTTGGCATCGGCCTTGCGTCCAAACACGCGCTCGATCCACTTGGCAATCTGTGTACGAGAAAACAGGAAGCACCAGCGCCATCAGCAAACACACTGGCACACACAGGCCTTACTACAACCAGTGTCTCGTGGCGTACGACAAGATCCTATCTCGGCCCTCACCTTCACAAAAAAGTGTCCACTACCAAGCGACAGCGCCAATAGACTGTAGCCCAGATTGTGCCAGTCAATAACAAACTTGGCACCTTTCAATCGACAGCAGAGCCACACGACCACAAACGTCGGGATCCTGTCACGCCACGGCATTCAACGCAGTCCATACAACGACCAACAAGTCACGTTACGACCCTCGATCAACAAAAGTGCGTTTGATCGCATGCCATCTCATCTTCTGGTGACACACGTACGTTGGCGGGTTCTGCAGCAGCACGAGGTCCACGCGGCCCAATGTTACGATCAGCAGCCACAACAGCTGCAACAGCTGCAGCACAATCTTCACAGGTGCCAGTAGCAAGAAGAACGTGCGGGGGATTCGCTGCAGATGCGGCGCAAACGTCAGCACACTAATGTTCTTCTGGCTCAACACGTCGGGTACACAGCTCTCGCCAGCGTAACCCACAAGAGTTACGCGCAGGCTCGTCGACATGCGCGCTAGCGACAGCGCGTGGTACTGCATCCGAGGGCTCCGTCCGACATCGCCCAGCACCATCACAACAGCGTGATGAGGCCGGTCGTCGTTGCGAGCAACGCGGAGCTTCGTGGCGGCCGGCGGTCGACGACGCCGCGGAGACGCCATGTTGGTTGATCGATGGGCAGACTTTTAGCCAATCAGTAACGCGCTCAACGAACGAATCACGCTGCGCTGCAGCAGACCGAGAGTGGGGGTAGCGAAGAGTTGCATGTATAATTATACAGATCGGACATCGACGGGACAATTGCTAGTATACATCGCACGTGCGCTAGAGACGAGGCAGCGCGAGCCGTGGATCCATCGACCGGCCCCTACCCCCACCCCCACCCCTTGGCACGACGCACTCGATGGGTACACACCCCACGCACGAGTGGCCCCTCAACTTGACGTCGCACTGCTGCGATACAATAGTTTGGTCATCGACGGCAGCGACGAGTCCACGTCGGACTCGACGCTGGGCACCAGTGCGTGTTGCAGCCGGTCGCTGTCCATCTGCATTGCTGTCAACTGCAGTGACGCGGTCGGCGACGTCGGCGACGTCAGTGGCCAAAGACTGGCGCCCTCGCACGACGTCCACGAGTGGTGAGGGGGCCACTCGGCCGTCGCCAGTGGTTCATCCGCCGACGGAGACGCAAACGCTCTTTCCATACTGTCTACGTCTCCTCGCGGCAGCATCAACTGGTGCACGTCGTGTGCATCGCGGTCTTCAGTCGCCGCTGAGAACAGCAACGACGCGTCGCCACTGAATGCCTTGCGCGGCTGCCGAAGACCATTGCTGTCCAAGTGCTTGCAGGGCGACAGCGTCGCGAGCAGTGAAGCTCGCGGTGCTGTTCCCTGGGCACTGTGGGGGGCACTGCTGGCCCCTTGAGCCACGAGTCGAGCTCGCTCTTTCTGGATCTGCAGCTCAAAGTGCGGCATCGTCTGGTTGAGCCTCGCGAGCTTTGTGAAGAACTTTTGCGCATGCGTTCGCACTTGCGTGGACGTTCGGGTCCCAATGAGTCGCGCGATCTCGCCCCACGCAGGCCCTTGGAACATCTCGAGGCCCTTGAGGAACCACTCGTGCTCGTCGCTGTGCCAGCGACCAACAGCGATTTGCTTGCTCCGACGACGGACAACTGACTGCTGCTGTGCGAACGGCTTCCCGTCTTGCAGGCGCGTGTAGAGCTCGTCAGTGTCGGCGAGCGCGGGCTCTGGTCGCACCCTTAATGGCGAAGACTGGAACGGTGCGGTTTGAGGACGCGGAGACTGGACGTCGTCGGACTCGTTCGTCCACACGTCCAATGGCGCGGGCGCGAGCTCCGAAGCGAGCAGTGGCAACGCGCCGTACTCGTGTGCGTCGTGACGAGAACCAGTGGTGCAGTTGATGCTCGTGCGACCGGTATCTTTGCTCCAGCTGCTGACAGGCGACTGCTGTTGCAGTTGTTGCGGAGTTAATAGAGGCGCAGGGTCGAGTTGACGCGGCGACGCCTCCTGCAGGGAGAACCAGTCGGCCTGAGCGTGGAAAAGCGGCGGCACGCGCTCCAAGGGGGCGGTCTGGTGCTGCCACAGTGGGCGGTCACAATCGCTGTCAGTGTACATGGCGCCGACAATGACAACGTCGTTGAGCCGCGTGCCTTTTCTTCCACTCAAACGACTGCAGTGCGTGCGGTCGAAGAGCTCCAATCGGCACGAGACGGCCAATTGGCAAATGACAGCGCCCCTGGCTGCAGCCGGCGCTGCCATTTGCTTCTTTCTGCGTGGCTTCCTCCTGCATCCTCGCTCTTCCCTGGCTCTTCTCCACGGCGCAGCGCTTAGCCTTCGAATTTTCAGGCTCACCAAAACGGACGCCGCGGCCGCAGTCGAAACTTTCTTGTCCCGTGTGGCAGCAGCAGCAGCAGCACCGAGAGCAGCCAAGACGTCTGTCTTCCCGCGGGTTCAAGATCGAAGGCCACGTCCTCGTGACGTCTCGACGGCGCGCGAGAGCGAAAAACGTCGTCGCCGTATCGATTCTGTTGGCTGCTGCTGCTGTTGCTGCTGCTGATGCTCACCATCACGTGCTGTGCAGTACGTAGCAACTGCTCTGCGAGTTGTTGAGGACACGAAAAGTCTGCACGTGGGAGCAGTGGATTGGAGCTACGGACAGACAGACTGGTGGTCTCAAGTGTGACAAATGCTTTCGAGAAGATCGGACGAGCGTCTTGACACGGGACAGGGAGTTACTACTGTCATCGGTCCTCGTGTCTCGGCTCGTGCCGATGCGTGGATGACCTCAACGTGGTGAGGAATATCGTCGCGGCATTTGGCAGTTGTTCACGCTGACAAGATACAGGTGTTCAACTGGACGCCGCGAGTCGAGCGAGCGTGCGGCTGGCGTTCATGCAATGAATTGTTAAGGTCTTTGTAAAGCCGTCGATGGTGTAGGTCTTTGCCAGGCAATGGAGTGCGTTCTCGCGCAACGATACTCACTCTCGAGGGATTGCGAACATGTTCGAGAGCCTGTTGCGCTTTGTACGGTCATCATCATCACCACTGCTTCCCATCTCTCTCAAACAATGGGACGGAAAGAAAGAGCGCAGTCACCGCATGTGCCTGGATACCGTGCAAAAAAGAAGCACAAAGAAGCACAACAGAAGAAGCGCGAAGGGGAGCGCTGGTAAACTACGCACCACCCGAACCCCGCGCGGTTAGCTATCGCTCGTCCACTCTGATTCGCGTAAACTATTCCGTGCCAACGCCCCGCGGCAATAAGAAGAACCCCAACACGCGCACCCTCGACACGTCCTCCTGCGCGATGGCCGACCTGTCCTTCCTCGCTCGCTTCGTGCTCACGCTGCTCGTGTCTGCGCTGTCTCTCTACATCTACAAGCGGCTGCAGCTGTCCTCGCCCTCCTCTCCGTCTTCTTCTCCGCCCACGTCTCGTTCCACGTCAACCAAACGCTCGAAAAAGCGCAGCAAGAAACCAAAGAAAGCGACGCCCACTGCTGCAGCTTCGGACGCGTCGTCGTCCTCCTCGTCGCTGCCGTCTGATACACGTGCAGCTCAACCCGACGCTCGGGATTCGACTGCTGCTGCTGCACCTACTTCACTGAGTGCCGAGCGCAGCGAAGAGAGCGACAGTGACTCGGACGAAGGGCTTTCGGCGGCGCAGGTGCTGGCTACACGCAAGTTCCAGCCCAAGAGGCTTGGCAGCTCAAGTCGAGCGTCTGCGTCGCTACCGGCAGAGCCTGCTGGGTTCACAGTTGATCAGGAGGTACTGGCTCGCTTTCGTGGTGGCGACAGGTGGTTCCCAGCTCGTGTCTTGGAGCGACGGAAAGGAAACGAGTACCACTTGAAGTATGACGATGGAGAGGTGGAATACCGGGTGTCGGCCGCGTGTATCAAGCCGCGGACGTCTGATGCTGACACTGGAAAGCGCGAGGAACGTGATGCTGCCGAGGACAGCGGGAAGAGTGAGGAACGCGATGGTGCCCAGGCTCTGGTCAGTGACACCGTGGCACGTGAAGCGTCCGTGCAGCAGAAGGAGGAAACGGGGTCTGACTCTGGCTCGAGCTCGTCGGACGACGATGGCTGGCAGGTGGTGGGAACTTCCAAGACTGTTAAACAGCGTCACGTGCGTCGCGCACAAGGGGATGCTCTGGCTGAGCCGTTGGTCGATGGTCTCACTAAACGTCAGCGCGAGAATCGCCGCAAAAAGGAGCGACAACGGGAGAAGAAGGAGCTGCTTCGTCAGCATGCCCAGAAGGACGACTTGGACGCGCGTGCGCGCTGGCGCTACGTGCCGTCGTAACTGGTCGAGCCGAGCAGTCTTAGTTTGAATGCAACAAGGCACGCTCCAGTGTGTACCCACCTGCTCATCGCAATGGAGTGCAAGGACAAGCGAAACACGTGGGTTCGTCTCTCCAAGCTATACTTGCTCCGTGGTAAACACTCGACAAATGAGTGCCGAGCGTCGGCATTTCCCTGCGATATTGAGCTTCTTGATATGTGCTTGATGCTTGTGGTGGATCCTTTGTTTCGCGAGATCACAGCTCTCTCTTCGAGACATAGTCACGCACCCGTCTTGCTGGATCGTCTTGGCATTAGTTTGACTGGGGCGCACGCCGCATGACTTTGTTATGAGCTGCATCTCATATTGAATGGGCTCGCCTGCATTTTGCAGATCAGGCAGCAACGATGTGCGTCGGTCATGTGCCGAGAGATGTTCGTCATGGGTCCGAATGGAACCAACCGGCTGGCCTGGCTCTGTCTAGTTGCCAGCAGATGTCTCGGAACGGAACCTACTTGTACAGCTCACGTCACTAGCAACTATCAGCGCCAGCAATGCAATCTTGCAATGCACGGTCCAACATTCTGTTCATGCCCATGTGACTCGATCTGCCATGCAGACTTTGCAGCAGTGGTGACCGCAAGCTTTGTGAAGGATTTGGCGCGACAGCTACGACACGTGACAAATTTTCTCAACAGCATCATCAAAGCGTAGTCGTCCATCTCATCGACAAACTTTTGCGTGCCGAAAGTGTCGCCACTGTATCTCCCAACCTCTGCGGGCATTCGTATGGCCTGCGCACCCGCTCTCCCTTCTCAGAATGTAACTGCGATAGCTTTCACGCGAGAATCATTTGCCATGCAAAATCATTTGCAGGACCGTCATGTCATTTGCAACACATGGTCATGACAGCAAAGGAAGGGCAACACGACAAAGAAAGAGCGATGGGTTGCTGAGGAATCAAACATTTTTGGTACGAATGCATTGCACGGACGAAGACGCGTGAAGGTGTTGGAAAAGGTGCAGAAAGAGTGTGGTGAGGCGTCGGACAAAGTCGAGCGGCACATTGTGTTCCAATGTTGGAAACACTCGCGGCAAAGGCGATGTCGATGCTGCGAAGGAGTCGAAAGTGAGTTGTCGTACCTGACTGTGCGAAGACACGACGAGATGCGAATCGTCGCGGTCAGGTTCGCAACGAGCTCGTACTGCTCAGAGCTCAGCACGATATTGCGATCGTGTGTGATACTGCTGCTAGAGCGAGCAGCTAAGTGGAAGTATATCAAGAAACTGCGGCACGCGAAGCAGCTGAAGACTGGGCATTTTCGGTATATGGAGGTAGCACCTGGTGATGCTTGCGTTGTTGATGGACGTTTAAGAGCAAGATGCTGTAGGTCGAGGCCAGCCGAGCGGACTTGCGCGCAGTGTCACAATGTTACATGTGTGGTAAGCAGACTACGATCCCATTGACTCGGATCCCTTTTTGTAGCTCTTGATGAGGACTGTCAGTCTTCGTCCTGATATGCAACGGCGGCAGTGCAGGTGGAGCGTGAGCCATTGCGTCCAGTAGACTGCCGAGGGCGCTGACACCGCGTCGGCTTCGATGGAAGATGGCAAATCCATGTCAGTGCTCGCAGCATCGTTTGGTCCCACAGAGCTGATTTGTGCTGTTGCAACTGTGTGCTCCTGAAGCGGCTGCCCTCGCGGAAACCGAAGTGGATGGAAATGCCTCAGGCACACGCACAAGTCGGTTCAAGGGATCGCGCAAGCGGTCTGTCAGGGGGACATCCCACGACATGTGCCATCGCTCCCGGCGTATGCACACTATCGATGAAATGACTGCCCGATCAGCCGCAAGAGATGTACACAAAGGTAGTACACGTCTGGCAAAGGCTACAGCAGCATTAGCAGACAATCCCGAGAGCGTCGTCGAGAATGACCAGTCCCGTATAACCACCGGACTCGTCGGAGCACCGGCGTTGCCATCCAGATCAAGAAACTAGCAGATATCTTGCAGCCTGAATGGTCAGATAGACAGCAGGTCTGCCTCTTTCTCTTTCTCCATCGAAGCGGCGTCAGTGGAGTCGAAGTCGAGGTATTGTGAGGTGGTGCTACTAGAGGCCAGTAGCTCACCGGTCGTGGAACTCCTCATCGACGTTTGTACTACAGACACGTCGTCGCTGCGCAGAATGAGCTCAACAGCATCACTCGCGACGAGGTCCCGCTGAAAGACATGACTGCCATACGAAGCTCAACCCTCTTGTCCCTCCCGAAAGTAGCAATGTCGGGCCAAAGAATTGGAAGACCAGGCACATTCCCTTGTACGCGTGTCATTCCTCGTCACAACAACTAAACTCACTTTTGGTATTCCAGCCCTACATCTATCGTTCGCGTGTGCGAGCAAATGGAAGTTGTCAGCAAAAGGAGAGTCTTGAGGCGCCTGTACGGCCCCAAGAGCAGCAAATGCGACCGCTCTGTCGTGAACCTCATACTGCATTACACTTGCGCTTTTCACACAACACATACGCACACGTCTCCCCCCCCGAGCACTGACGATTGTTTTGCTCCAACAAAACAAGACGGCAACACTCGGCAGACGCAGTACAGCTGAAGACTCGACGCTTGTCTCGTTTCCCAGCTGCCTCTTTCGAACAGTCCCACAAGTGACGCGCGGGCGAAACCGCCAGTAAGTGAGTGACACGCACCCACACAGAGCCAAAAAGGCCCTTCTATCCCCAAAGCGCTACACGACCAATCGAGCGTCAACTCACCTAACCCCACCCACCGACCCACCGCTTCAACTACGAGACCATCACTCTGCCCGTCGTTTCGCACATGACGTGCACCACACCACATCGCCGCTCCCTCTAACAGGTCAACTCTCGTGGATACGTGGCGAGGCCGCACTGCGTTCCCCGCCGCCGCTGTCTCTGCTCGCCGCCCGCCCGTCATGTCGACGCCCAGCGACGCCGCACTGCTCCGCCAGACGCAGCAGCAGTTGGAGACCGCAGCGGCCGCGAAATCAGCGAACGCAGCGGCCGGGAAATTGCTGGACGAGAAGCTGCGCGTCGCCCTGAAGAACGTTCCGCGCCGGCCGCACGGGTCGCTCGAGCGCCTCAAAGAGGAGATGGACACGAAAGAGTGGCACCGCAACACGACGTCAATGTCTGCGGCCGACGAGCGCGTGGTGTTGCGCGAGCTGCAGCAACTCCAGGACAAAGTTGCGCAACATACTGCATTTGACTCGTTCCAAGCCCAGATCGACGCCCTGCGCGTCGCGCGCCAGGAGCGCTTCGAGCAACATAAGACACTGACCGCTGAATTGCACGAGCTGCAGCAGCAACAGCGCCAGCTCCAGTTGGCAGCCCATCTCCACATGTCCGTTGCCGACTTTGTGACGATCCAAGTGCCGATCCCGGAGGACAGAATGGGCTCAATCATTGGCAAACAGTTTGCCCGGGTGCATCAGCTCGAAAAAGAGTGCAGTGCTATGCTCGAGGTGGACAGTAAGCAGAACATGGTCACGATCACTAGTGCTTTGGAACAGGTGGAGACGGCGAAGAAGGCGATCGAGGACATTACGCTGGCTACAAGTCACGCCATTGGCTTGCACCCTGATACAGTGAAAGTGCTGATGTCTCAACGAGCCAAGCTCCTACGTGAGCTCGAAAAGTCGCACAAAGTGAAGATTGACGTTAGCAAGGCCGACGGCATCTTGACGGTCGTGGTCTCGCCGGACAAGGTCAAGCTATTGAAAAAGGCAATTGACGGTCTCACGGCTGGCAAAGTGGACATTTTGCTGCCATCGGAAATTGTGCCAAAGCTCATCGGCAAGAAGGGCGAGGCGATTAACAAGTTGATGCAGGATACAGGCGCTCTAGTAGATATTGATAAGGTCACCAACAACGTCCGACTCGTTGGTACGAAGGAGGGTGTTGCTGGTGCTGAAACGTACATCCAGGAGCTCATCAGCAAAGAGTCTCAGCGGGAGAAGAACTACACGCCTGAGAATAGCGACATGTTCAAGGGGTCAGAGTCTGCACCGCATAAGTTTGAGTTTTTTGCCGAGTTCTTGATGGCCAACAAGGCAAAGCAATTGCGTTTGCTGCGCGCAAAGGCTTTTGAAGCGCGTGTTAAGGTGCTCAAAAAGGAGCGTCAGATTCAGGTAGCGGGCAACAGCAAGCAGCTCGATGCCATGGAAGATGCGATTCGTGAACGCTTCAAATATTTTGAGCTGCACCACTGGATGTGTGAAGTCGCAGACAACCATTTGCTGAGCCTCATCATTGGCAAGAAGGGAAGCAAGATTAAAGAGATCGAAAGAGAAGGCAAGGAGAGCAGCGTTCGCATTGATATTCAGGACACGTTCGTGTGCGTATTTGGCGACGATGCAGAGGCCATTAACAGCGCTAGAGCGAAGATTATGGAGATTGTCGAGAGTAATCAGCGCTCGGTTTTCCTAACGTCGCGCGGTTTGATTTCTGTTTTAATGGCATCCAAGCGTGAAAAGCTGACTAATCTTGAACACAGCAGTGGGTGCAAGCTGCACTTGCCTCCGCTAGCACGTGATGCGGCAGCTCGGAGCAGCGCAAGCGAGTCAAATCAAGTTAAAATCTCGCTTACTGGTACGCTGGATGCTATTCGAAAGGCGAAGAAAGAGCTGGAACAATTAAACGAGGCACATCATGTCCGATACCTTCCGCTGGATAACGATGAGGTTCCGATTGTGATCGGTAAGAACGGTGAAACTGTGGCCGATCTTGAAACCAAAAGTGGATCCAAAGTCCGCGTGCTACGAGGAACCAGCGGCCAGTCCTCTGAGTTAGAAATGACTGGCACGCAAGAACAGCTCAACATTGTTCAGACTGCCGTTGATGGGCTTTTGCATACGCAGCACCGCCAGCTTTTACAACTAGATGCCTTTGCCACAGGCTGCTTGATTGGTAAAAGGGAGACCGGATCAAGGCAATGCGCCTTGCTCACCCAGAGGCTACTTTGGATGCGTTTCCGAACCGCGGGCAAGTCCGTGTTAAGGCATCAACTTCCGAAGCTCTCCAGACTTGTGTTGACGATGTGCTAAAGACGCTGCAAGAAACTCATGTGGTTGAGAGTGTCCATGTCTCGCAGCAGGAGCAGCAAACTGCGAGAGGACTGCCGCCTGGATCTGCAGTGCCAGTTTTACCCAACTTTGGTACTCTTCTAGAGAAGAATGAGTCCATTGCAATACGGTTGCGGGAGTTGGAGGCTGAAGGCGGGGAAGGCATGCGAGTGTCTATCGAGAATGAAGGCAAGGTGGCTAAGATTCGTGGCCCGGCAATAGGAATCGGCAAGATCAGAAACTTCCTGGAAATGTTGGTGTCACCGGACTCACACTTCGTAGAAACCATCCCGCTGCCTTTGATCGCATTCGCCAGTGCTTTGGAGGTCAAGGGCAGTGCTGGTAAGCTTAATGAGAACGCCTTGCAGATCTGCACGCAAACTGGATGTGAACTCCACATTACGCGTTCGTCTGCAGCTGGTCCTTCTGAAGAAGGCGCTATACGTATTGAAGGCACGAACGCCTCCAACGTTTACAAGGCGAAGGCTGAGGTCGAGAAATTGCTTCAGTTTTACTACACAGACTGTTTCCAGACGCTGGACGATCTCCCCAGCTTCATTGCGACCCGAATTTATGAGCTGCTGCCTTTTCTGCGCGTCAAGTACAATGTCGTGTTTTCTCTACCTACCAAAACAAGCCTCAAGGTCTTTACAGACTCGAAGGTGCATGCTCAGGAGATCAGAGAACAGCTAGAGAAGGATGTCGAAGCTTGGAAGAAGCAGCTCGTCGAACTGCCTATTGCTACTTGGCTCGTACCGATCTTGGTCGGCCGAAATGGCGAAACTATCAAAAAGATTGGCACGGATAGCAACGCTCGGCTGGATTTGAATGCGCCGCCGCCATCTGGATCGCGTTGCAAGGGTCGTGTCCTCACGATCAGTGCGAGGGACAGTGCAGCTGCCAAGACTGCACTCGAAAAGGTAAAGGAGATCCTCATTCATCATGAAAATCTATCTTCGGTCGTGAACGTCGGCAAGGCCAAGCTGGACGTGGCTTTATCTGTCAAAAAGGAAGCTGCAAAGGGGGTGCAGTTTCACGTTATTGACGGCAAGGAGGAGGGTGATTTGCAGGTTGTGATCTATAGCGACGATCACAACGAGCGCGAGCGTATTGTGGAAATGATGGAGCATCTCCTTGACCAGTATGTGGTGGTGACGATCACTTTACCCACCTCCGTCTCGCCTTCTTCTGCAAGTTCCATGATTGGATCTTTGATTGGAAAGAGTGGTGCGAATATCCGTGCGCTACAGAAGCAGTTTACCAACGTGACGATCGACATACGTCGTGACAAGAACTCTGTTACGCTCAAGGGTCCTACAGACGAAGTCCAAAAAGTTCGAACGATCATGGACGACAAGATTCAGGAACTGCTGCGCAATGAGCACGAGTTTCAGCTGCGTCGTAATGGTCGCTGCCAGAAGGAATCGGAGAATCAGGAGGAGGACGAGAAAGATACGGGCATTGCGCACGACTCGAAAGCTAGCGACGACCCAACGCAGTCACAGTCGCTGCCGCAACAACCCCAGCTTGCTAAAAACGTAGGCCCCGTAGCTGGCACCCCTGGTACGGGAGATACCAAGCTCACGAAAAACCAGCGCCGCCGCATGCGAAAACGCGCTGAGAACGAGAAGCAGAATGCGCTGTCCGCGGTGCTTGGAACTTGTGATGCAGCTGCAGCAGTGTGACGACGACAACCGAGATGCGCCATTGCGACTGGGTTTTGTGGTGGTACGATTGTCAGCAGAACCACACGCACAGCTGGCTGGACAACAGAAGCAATGGAGGCCACCACGACTCGTCGTGTAGACGCTTTTAGGGGCAACGATGGAGCAGCTTGACGTCACGGATTGCGCGGGTGGATGTTTGAAGCAAAGGCGTAGAGATGTGGATCGAAGTGGAGCTCACTGCACCGCGGGACAGTCGATGTGACCTGAGAACGCTCTTGTGCCATGTCATTTCACAATGAACATAATGGAAAGACGCACATCCCACTTTTGTGTGTGTGGACCTTGTCTGTGTATGCCGACTGACTTAGCTTCATACTTTTTGTTCCAGGACACCAGCTGCTTTGACATTGCACGTATGTGGTGATCGATCGTCACGACGACAGAGCTTGTTATCTGTGCCAGAGCGTTGCTGCGTTCGCCAATGCAGCCAAGTCGCGTAGTCGCCCGGCTTTGCGCTCGATCGAGACAACATCCCGGCATGCGACCATGGGATTCAGCCCGCAATACTTTGCAATTCCGCTGGGCGACTAGGCAGCGAGACGCTGGGAAAGTTGTTCGCCATCGGTTATCTCTTGAAGGGCTCAGCTGTCACGTGACGGCGTGTACAGACCGCAGTGGATATCACATGGGCGGACTCCAAGTGCCCTGTACGTCGGCAGCACAACTCGGCCATTCCACACGAAACGATTCGAACTGGGTGTAAGACGGCCTGAATGGGTTGTGCACTCGGTTACACACGGCACAATGTGCGCTCCGAACTGACGCCTTGGTAATGACAGCTATCTTATTGAACAGGTATCAAGGCGGCGTTGTATCTTGCAAAGCGACACGACGCTAAACCGCTCGAGTTTTTCTGTCGATCGTTATGCATAGATAAAGCCGATTGCATAACATCAAACAACGCGAAATCGTCATGGAATCGTGATCTGAAAAAGAGCTACGGTCGGGTCTTGCGGCGTGATTGACAATGTCGCGGTCGTTGCTCCCTCCCAGCACAACAGCCATTCGACCAACCACTGAAAAGTCACCAAGAAGCCACCACACCTTTCGTGTAAAATCCGAGTGCACTGCAATGGTAGTACAGGCCTACATTGATCAGATCGTCGTTTGGTGAAGGAAATTCAGAGCGTAGCTTGGGTCAACCAACAATCGTACGGACAACGAGATGCTAGCGAGTCAAGTGAGTTTGTTGGAAACGATACTGTACTGACTAAATTACTGCCAGGTCCCAAGCCACGAAGGAAGTGTTGTTTCCCAGGATTGTTAGTTGGTCACGTATTCTTGTTTTTGCAGGCTCCACTACCAGAATAACCCACTCCACTACCACAATCAAATCCCACCCAAACTCGACCCGTCAAACCAGAAGGAAATAGCCCCAGACAAGACAGAGACCACTAACACCGATCACCACATTTGTTTGCAAACCTGTTCAGGGAAACGTAACCATCCTGGTCTTTTAAAGGAATTGGGTTTCTTCGTAAGAAACAAGTCCATACAACTTTTGTGGATTCCAGTTTCACTATTTGCAACACACACAGATGTAGCAAGCTCCCCTTCCCAACGCTTGACTTCAAGTTTGCCAGCTCAAGGATGCCAATCGCAGCATGATCCAAGAGGCTTTCGCCGCCTGTGTGACAAACGAGTCAAACCATACTAAGGGCGAGACTCAGGCTTCTATCAGCAACATCATCAAGAATCGTGCTGAGCTGGAAGCCATGGACTCAGGTAGCCCTAACGCCAATCGTCAGCGCCCTGTCCAGCGCTCACTGGTATGTGAGGCAGTTGCGTCCTGGGTGATACATTGATACATTGCCAGCATCGCGGGGCTATCTTCACCAAAGATCTGATACGCGCAAAAGCTCAAAGATTTGTCGAATTATTTGGAATCTTGGGTGACGCCATCAAGTTCTCGCACGGACGGCTCCAAAATTCCCAGCAACACCACCAGCTCCTTGCGATACGCATCATCGGCGAATGGAGATCAAGTGATGTAAAGGCTTTGCAAGAGGCGCTCCTTTGGCTGATTGGGACTATTGCCGGGATATTCTTCCCGTAATGTTTACAACATTAATAAGACGAAAATGTTGTTTTGCATTTGCTAAAGATAAATTACACTTTCGACCCAAATTTCGCAAGACTTTGTACATCATGACACAGTTAGGACGACGATCGCTTAGGCAAATGTCACGGAGCACAAAAAAGACAGCGTAAATAATTCGCATTTGTCTTTTCACTCTATGTTAGTTAACCATTTGCTGCGCCTGTTAACAGATACGCATCACCGGAGCTTTTCAGAGAATACTGACAAGTCCGGTAGCCATGAGCTGGTCTCTTTCTGCCTAGACAGAGATTTCGGTTGGCACAATTAAATACTGATTTAACCACACCGAGCTATTTACAAAGCCTGATACGGTTTTCATGACAAGGGAGGAAGTGATGAACATGGAAGTCTAGACGGAGACTGGCAAGGAAACAGATCCGGATCATGACCTGGTAATGAAGCATAACAGCTTCTGCTCCGCAACCCTGTGGTTATTAGCGAGCTTTTGGACCCTGTCAGAGAGAATGCATGTAATTGGACAGAGCTCATGATCACGCAATTTGAACGGTGTGTAGTAAAGGAGGAAGGGAGCGAAGGAGATGCAGTAGAAGATGATGTCTTCTGAGATATTCATATTCTTCACGACTGACACGATCAAGATCTCAGGTATTGACTACAACTTGCTCAACCTGTTCTCGATAACCCTTCTTTCTGCCTAAAAGCTACTACGCAGTCTACGGGATGAAATTCAAAGTGCCAACACCACACAATCCACCCTTAATACTTGTCTTATATTGAACATCTCCCCACGTTTGTTAAAAGGATTACCTATATAATTTTATTTAGCTTCTCGGTTATTGTTACGGGGCACTAATGACAACGTACTGTTTGATTAGTACGGAGCTCACTTCCACTGACAAAAGTGATATTCAGTGCCCCGATAAGTGTTGCACCAACACAGAGGAAGGAAACGAGACTAGTGAACGCTCTAGTCTCTCCTAAAGGTAAACTGTTTTTAATGTAATTAAGTCCTATCAATCTTATATCTCTGTTTATCCTGACTTAATTATATTAATCTAACTAAACGTATGGTGACGTCTACTCACCACTCATTGCGCGCGTCTAGCAGCGATTGGTGAGATGATATCATCACGATATCAACCAATGAGTAGACCCTTCAGTCATCTTCAACAATGTCATCATGCCCTGTGATATTGTTGAAAGAATATTCAACGTAATTTTCTTTATTGTCATTTTAGCCTTAGTGACAATATCATGTAACGGGCTACCCCGTTCCACTTATTCCTTATCAGTTATATAAATTAGAGTGCGCCACAACGACATACGTATAGCTCAAAGTTAGAGGGACCACGTTTAAAGGATTAACACAGTTTTAAAACCGCATTTTACTGGACAAAAAATCACATACACATTTTAAGTGTATTTTTCTATCGCACAGCTATTGGACAAAAGAACGTAGTGACGCCCGCCACCCGTCCCATTCTCCCCACGCAAGGACAATTCGCAATTTTCGAACACCTTCGCAGACAAACACGACGTACGAATGGCGCCCCGATCGCACATTTCCTTCGTCCAGAAGAGAGCTCTACGGACACACCAGCGTGAAAAATTCTGGAATCACGCAAGCCGATCTCTGTCGATGGGCGCTGGGAGAGTTTGGAAACTGTGTTGCACGGTCCACGAACAGCAGGATTCTGAGCGAGGGCATTCCTGTCACCCTCAATCCGAGAGCCAAACGGCAGCAGAAGGGCAGACATGCCGAGGTGGAGAAAGCGCTGTTCCATTTCGTGCTCGACACTCAAAGTAAAGTCACGTTGACCGACTTCATCCTCCACCAGAAGGCCAATCAACTGCCCGAGGACGCAGGTGTAACGACGACGCTCTCGCTTTCGTGGGTGTCGAGCCTTAAAGCCCGACACGGCATCAAGTCTTACCGACTGCATGGCGAGGCGACCTCAGTCGAGCTAAAGACCCTTCACCAGCGGCGCCAGGAACTCCGGACCCTTCTTGACGGCTACGCGGCGTGCGATGTTTTCAATATGGATGAAACCGGTCTATTATATCGCATGATGCCTTCGAAGGCTCTGGCAACGATGCCTTCGAGTGGCAAGAAGAAAGACAAGTCGCGCATTTCGATAGGGCTATGCTCCAATATGGATGGGACTGAGAAACTGGACCCTATCGTGATCAACAAGTCCCTCAACCCCCGTTGCTTCAAAGCCATCGACGTTTCCAAGCTACCCGTCCACTTTCATGCAAATGCAAAGGCACGGATGACTGGAGGAATTTTTTCAAATTGGTTCAAAGCGTTCACTCTCAAAATGAGTGGGCAAAAAGTTCTTTTGCTGCTCGACAACGCGACCTCCCATGTCAATTTGGAGCTCTCAAACGTACACATTCACTTCCTTCCGCCAAATACCACCTCCTGTTTGCAGCCGATGGACGCGGGCATCATTCGCAACTTCAAGCTCAAGTACAAGGCCCAATTCGTGCAGTGGCTACTGGACATGGTGACGGCAGGGACGGAGGACAAGAATCTTGACGTTCTTAGCGCAATCCGTATGGTGGTAAAATCGTGGGCTGAGGTGCGCCCTGAAACGATTCGACACTGTTGGATCCACACCGGAATCGTGTCTGGGGTTATGGCGGCAGTGGTCCGTAGGCAAGACGAGCCGGTCCGCCCCAATCATCTCTCAATCCTGGCTAATGTAATAGACAAAATATCCTTATCTAATTATATGGATGCAGACCACTATCTGGAGTGTGACAACAACCTGGAAGAATGGGAACCAGACTCCGATGCAACTGCCACCTCTGAGCCATTTCCGCGTGATGACGACAGCGACGGAGACGATAATCCCATCTTCACTCATCGCGACGCGCTGAATGCTGCAAT